ATCCTGATGGCACTGATCCATGTCCTGGAGGAGGTGGAGGCGGTGCAATCCAGAACCGGAAGGCAGGTACTTCCGTGCCAAGGCAGATGCCACAGCCTACCCTACTCTTAGTTCCAACAAGGAGTTTGACACTTGGTATGAGGCTTTCATTGTCATAGCCAGAGCCCAAGGCTTCTACAAGGTCTTCGACACTGACTATGCTCCCATGACCACCGATACTTTGAGGAACTCCTACGGATGAACCGGTGGATCTATGCTGTCTCCTGAACACAGTGAAGACAACCAATGGAAAAGTCATTGTGAAGTCTCACTTCCATGATGCTGATTGCTTTGCAATCCTTGTGGAACTGATCCAGGATGCACATGCATCAGTAGCAGGCTCCCTGGACCATGTTGAGGTCCTCCATTGGCTTTCAAGTGTCCAGTACTGCCCAAGGCAAGGCTCTGCTATTGAATTTGTCATCAAGTTTGACGAGACCATCACCCACTACAATGATGTCCACCGAGATCCTAGCGACAAGCTCAGCGACAGCATGCAGAAGCTGTTCCTGCAACGTGCCTTCACTGATGTCCAAGTCTTGAACGACATCAGATCCCGTGAGCATGAAAGAATGTGTCGTCATGGTCACAAGGAGCGCTTCACCTATGAGGCGTACAAGGAGACACTGAAGAATGCCGCCACCCACTACGATGTCAACGCCGTGTTCCCGACCCAACTAGCCAACCTAGCAACTGTTGATCAGGAACAAGGCCATACCGATGTGGGGAGCAGCAAGTCCTCGGACTCCCAAACACAACTTGGTTCAAGCTTTCGCCTGCCGGCCGCCAAATCTGGTGCAAGTTCCCTGATGCCGACAGACAAGTCCTGATAGGTTCGACGCCGCCTGTAGTTGATTCCAAGAGTGAAGCTGACCCAGCAGTCGGGGACGCCTTGGATTCTCCCATGGCAGATGACGAAGCCTTCAAGGGCAAGCCCAAGCCCAATCCCAACCTGGATTTTTGATGGGGCGACTAGTGTACGTGCTGCACCGGTCAAGCCCAAGGAAACCAGGCACCGCCCATGTCTGCGGGGTAGCATGCCACCCACCAATGGGGCTACCTTCCGCAGGAAATGGCACCGTATGACAAGTCCCCTTGCTAGATTTGTCATCATGATTCAAGCATACCGTTTTGTGATTTGCAACTTGTCTATTGTCACCAGTGGTGTCAAAGACTCATCTCTGCCTGAGATGTATGTGTTGTAACGTTTTGTCAACCACGTATTGATTCCAATATGACTGCTGACTGTTTGTCTCTGCCCCTCTGAGCTTTATGGGAGACAAACAGATGGCTTCCAAGCCAATTCCAAGCCATGGTGCAAGTATGGGGAGACCAAGTGGGATCCTTACTGACGTCCAAGTGCAATAGGTTCCTTGAGAATGGAGAGTATCTGCAGATAGCCTCAAGACATGTTCCACACACACCTTCGCGAGTGACCAACCCAAGTGGATGTGTATTGTCCATCCCAAGAAGTACCTCTGCGCACACCACGTCCGTCCTAGATCCTAACACCTTTTCTCTCTTGGACAACGATGGCAACCCAATGCATTTACTTTGGAGCCAGCCGTCTACTTTGGAGGGTTTGAGATCACAAGTGTGATGTCCCTTCCTTTGTTCCAAGTGGTACCCAGCAATGGACACCTTGATGTATTCAAGAGGGCTGCTGACTTTGTATTAGGTCACAGCCAAGGTCCAAACTGAGGAACCAGATGCTCCCAGTTTTGTGGGAATGTCGAGGAATGACCCAGACATAGAGAAGCTTGTTGACGCCCCATTTGATGACTCGAATGGTGGGGAGCGATGAAATTAGCAATAGGAGCCTCTATGGGTGCGCCACAGCTGTGCTGGTTTAGTCGATGGAAACAATGCTTTTCATCGTGTACAGTCAATCAGTACACACAGCATTGCAGCCATGTGACAATTTGTATATAGCTGAGGCATGCCTATGTGTTGCAGAGCATACATACCCTTCAGCCTAGATACATTGGAATGTTCCAGACCAACAGTCCTCTCCTAGGATCTCCAACTGTGGATATCATCTCCAAAAGAGCCAGTTCTGTCAACTGGAGTGAAATCGTGGTAATGGTGTTTTTAGCTTATAGTAAGAAAGATAGTAATGAAAGAGTAACCCCTGAGACCCAGTAGCACCCTCAGCCCTGCAGTAGATAGATTCCTGTGTGGTATGTGCTAGGGCAATGTAACCAGCTCCCCAAGTACTTTGAAGTAGTGATTGGGTAGCATTGATCCAGCTCTTTTGAGCTGACCTTTCAGCCAGTGGAGGAGATCTTCATCAACCAGAGATCTCCCTCCCAGCTCTTGTGTTCCTACAACTGAGTTTCCTGGCGGAGATTCATAGATGGGATTTCTTGGGCCATCGGTAGTAAGAGCAATGTCAGTTCACTGCAGGGTATGGAGGAACTTGCACTGCTGAGTCTACTGAAAGCCGGTGACTTCTTCTTGTGTTCAATTTCTTCCAACTTGGTCGTCGGCGGTCGAGAATAGAAAACCCGCCCAAACTGGTAGGATTTCAATTGGGATGGCTTTCTAATCTGAACCGGAGAACGTCGCGTTGATAGTCGCTTGATAGAGGAGGTGCAGGAGATAGGAGTATCGATCCTGTCGGTCCTTTCGGCTTGAATGAGAGATAAAGAGAGGAAAAAGGGATGTGTGTTTTCCGTGATGACGTTGAGTGGATTCCTATAATAAAACAGTACTCTTCAACGAAATAACAGATAACAAGCTTCCTGAGGTCCTTTCGCTTCGTTTCAATGCTTCTAATGGGTCTAATAGGTGTGGTAATGGTATAGAAGTGACTGTCGTATTGTTATCGTTGTTGCTATTAGGTGTTTTCGTGTTGGTTGACAGATCCAGCGGCAGGAGTCCTTTGAGTTGGCTCCCGCTTGGAAAAGTATCTTAACCGATTCAGCCACAGCAACACTGAGTTATTATCTTAGAAGCAGCCCACTCAATCACTAGCAGCTATTGTCACATACCCCTACTACTAACCATGCCCTCAGACAGTGAGGAGCCACCACCAAAGCTCAAGAAGGCAAAAGTGCAAAGCTAAAATTGATGCAACCAAAGATGTTGTGGTAGAGAGGCACCCTAAGATTCGGATATGGAGTACTGGGATGTAGATGATGATGCGGAAGATAATGGGTACTAGCTGCATTCATTCCCCACATAGTATTAGTATTAGCTAAGGGATTGAGACCTCAGTAGTCGTAGCTTATCTTCCTGGTTCGGGAAATCTGAGTGTCCGGGTTATCTGAACATTTCTGAAAAGTTGAGTACTCGGTAAATCTTAAATCCACTTATCTTAAGTGTGAGTGAGGAGTGTAAAACATTCCTTTAAATCTTCAACATTCCCTAAATGATACCCAGTTTTAAGTCAGTCGTGGCAGTTTTTAAAGCCTGAGCAGGATACTGGTAAATGGTACCGGTACCGGTACAGTCCCCTGGTTATTAAGAACAATGCCGATTGCTCGATGAATCCTAGAAAGATTAAGTCAGCGGGAGCTGCGATACCTCGGCAGAAAGACAGATAGAAGAAGGGGGATCATGTTCGGATTGCACCCATCTTTCAAGCTAGCCCTGGCGACAACACCCGACTACGTCGTGTGTTGCCGCCCGGTATCATTCATTCCCTTTTTGCAACCTTCTTTTTATTAAGCTAGCCCTGGCGACAACACCCGACTACGTCGTGTGTTGCCGCCCGCTACTCAATAATTTACTAGCTGCTATTCCCTTATTGTAACTCTAACCTTTACAGCTCCTGCTGGCTTATTGTGCTGTTGTGATGATTGTACTAACCTTAAATATTAATGATTTATTCCTACCCCTAACTTGTATTGAACCATCAATGTTCAGTTTTGTTGGCTTATGACTATCTCTATCCTTATACTTTGGCTTCACCGGAATAGGAAATAGGAAATAGGAAATAGGAAATAGCATTAAAGGGGTTGAGAACTCAGGCAGTTTACCTGCCGAGGTAAAGGCAACACTTACCCTTCTCCCTTCATTGAGCAGGGCATCACAAGGAGTGTTGGTTTGATTCGGCATGAGCAACGTCCGCCAAGAACAGCCTCGGGATGCCAATGTTGGAATTCACGATGGAGCTTTTGCAGATGACTCAGAGAAAAGCGTGAGAGGAGAAGTGACCGTAATCGTAGTCGATGACAACAGCGACGAGGAAGATGAAAAACAAGATGAAAAACAAAAAACGATCCCTCTGCTTGTCGATGGTGGCAATGACAAAAAAGCGAGCAAAACATCTGCTGATGCCAGAGGTACCGGTACCGAAGCGACAATTACTCCACCATCTTTGAAGCCAGCGTGCTCTGCTGATGCCACTTCCAGAAACACAGGATCAGAAGGGAGGCCGAAAGTAGATCAATTCCCTTTGATACTAGTCTATTGGAAATATCTGACCAAGAGTTGCATTGGGGCTTGAATGTCAAGGATGCCGTGAAGCGGCTTCCAGACTTGGACCGTACGTTTTACAAAACCTTCGGTATTCATGAATGTTTCTTGATTATCCCAAAAAGAATTTGAAGAAAAAACTCACATAGTTTCTTTTTCTTTTAAAAAATAGCGCTGAGCGATTTCATGTACGCCCATCTTGGCATTGCTTCCAAGGGAGATGTTGAATGGGCCATTGACAGGGCCTACAAAATGCAGCATGTGCGCAGAAAGTACAAGATCCGTGGAACATATGAAGAAGGCACCAAGGCAATTCGTAAAATGATGGAAAGGCTACCCAGACAAGCCCTTTCCTTCACTTTCAATCCCCACAGTGGCAAGGTTGTCATGGTCATGGATACTGCCGAGTCTCTCACAGGGATCTTTAAGGACCAAAAGAGTGAGGAGACTGTGATACGGGGTTGCTTCTATGCTTGCTATGCAATGTTTCCTTCCTTCGAATGTGTTCGAGTGGGAAACACTATAATTGGGGACGAGGCCTTCTCCATGCCAAGCTTTTTGCCAAACTCACTGAGAATACACATGAGGCATTTCCTAGCGTAATGAAAGAAGTGCGCTTCTACAATACCTCGGCTGTTGCCAACATGATTTTGGGCATGTGTAGTCGATTCATATCGGACGAAATCGCAAAGAAACACAAGTTCGGATGTACCTATGAAGGAGGTCGACTGGCCAATTTCTACTTGGTTCCAACACCCGAGGATGCATTTCAGAGAACCTACATTAGCTTCTGCAGTGGATTGAAAATGAGGATGGAGAGTGAAAAGGTATTTGCTTTGAAATTCACTCCGAAAACAGCAACCAAGCTATCAGATTGAAGACATGGCCAGCAGTACCACCAGCATTGGAAGATGTCACCAACGGTGGTTCTGGTACACTGTTGGCACAATTAAATAATACTCTATGCACCTGGCAGCCCCTGGTCCATTCTATACTTTTAGTTTTCCATTACTTCTATTGTCTGTCCCCTTCTAAAATAAAACTACACAAGTGTATGCATACTCATTACGCTGATTAGTAGCTAGCTGGACCCACTTTTGGTTACCTGAACTTATTACTCTACTATCAGAGCTCTATCGGTACATACCGTAGCTACCGGTACTGTAGCACCCTACTAGCAAACAAACTTAGACTACTTTTAAACTTGCGCAATGTAGAATACCGGTATGCAGACGCAGGAGCTCCGGTTGGTGTTTTCAAAAGTGAAGATGATGAAACCTCAAAACCTCCAACTCCAAATAAATCTGCACTTCCAGCAATGTTGTGTTGTAAAAAGCTTGTAAAAAGTGCCCGTTCTGCGTCTACGGGTACTTTACGAGTCCCGTAACGGGAAAAAGGCTTAATAAAACCAATGACGAGCACCTTCTAGTACTGAAACTCATCAAGAACGAACGCAACACATGGAGGAGAAAGTCCTCTGTTGCTTTTTGTTGTTGTTCGGCGTCGCGGATAATAACCAAGCACATTACTGTATCGTCTTCGTGTCTCATTACTACCTCTACTAGTAGAAAGTAGTGCAAGCCTATGAAACCTTCCTAAAACTTTCCCGCACTTGTGGTATTAGTTAGTATTACCATGGACGTTGACTGTCGAAAGGTTTTGCCAACCGCCAGTACCAGGTACGAGTATGATGCCTCGGAGAGTCATGGCATGCAGAACCGTTGAGGATAACAATTGGGTGTCAGAAACATTCCTCAATTCGCCAATACTTTGTGTCTTCCCTAGTAGTGCCAATATCTTTTGACAAAATGGAATGGTACAACCCGAGACCTTCGCTCAGCTCCGTCCTGAAAATGAAGGGATAGGCAGCACTAATGGCGGGGAGCTCCAGCCAGAGGCAAATTTGTTGGCCTATCAGCTTATCCGTGTGTTGATCGTGTAGGTCGAGTGAGTGCTCCCAAACGAAGACATCTTTTATTCTCCCATTGGCATTGGCCATGCCGATGCTTTCGAAACAAGACGGAGCAGTGCCAATGCGTGTTGTCAAGAGGTGATTGCAAGTGGCTTGAATGGATCTGGGTCAAACTCAGTCGGATCTTCCTGAGTCAGCCGGATGTTGTCCCTGGAAGAAGACTGTCAGTAGAAGGCTTTGCCGTCACGACCATGACCGCTTACTTTGACGCTATGGGGGCCGTCGCGGAAGGGACGACGTGCGGGTTTCTTTTGCACCATATTTGCTACCTCGATGGCGTCCAACAGGACCATGCAAGCAGCGTCTAATGTGACGGATGCGAAGCTACGGCACCGGTAGCAAAGAACCCTACCGTACACCCAACTTGACCGTGATACCGAAACACGGGCGGCCATATGCTTCGAGCATTGTCTGTCTCGCTACAGCAGATGTCTCTCTGGCTAAGTTTTATCTACCGTAGGCCTGAGGAAAACATGACTCAGGGGCCCTCCCAGGCTTGGCGGAAGCTCTGGAAGATGTCTAGCAGGCAGTCGCCCAGAACTGGTCTATTTTGTTGGAAGCTGCTTTGCACAACTTCTCTTTCTTTCTCCGATGACTGGGCACAGTATTTTGGAAGAACTCCCAGAGAGTTCGACTGCGGGTGGTAACTCTACCGTCTTCGTGTCACATGCGAAAGGAAACGTTCAAGTGAAATGGAGCTTCCTCAGAACCTCAGTCTCCCGCGAAGCCTATGGGGAGATGGTGGCAATCGTCAAAATGTAACTGCATTTGATAGAGGCAGGGTGTTTCGCTCTGGCCAATCAATAATCCGCATTGTGGTTCTGCTGCCACTCTGTGTCCAGTTCTGCCTGCTGATTGCAAGTACATGTAGGTGAAGAAACGAAGCGACTGCTCAACAGCGCAACCGTCTTGGAAGAAGCGCATTCTGTAATGGCAAGAAAGGCGTGTTAATGCGCGAAGTCCATTTCGCAAGATGATTCCAATATGGACGGCTACGAAAAGCAGATGCTGTCGAAATTGCAGCTTGAGGCGACTACCAAATTGCCATGACTTCCGGTCTTCAAGTCATGACTATTTACCCAAGGCTCGGCCTCTGTCCTATTTCTATTGAGATTGACAACAACAGAGCAAGGACTCACTAAAGAAGAATGGTCAATCACATCCCGCATTGAAGGGCGCTGTTGCCACCAGTGTGTTGTTTGACTGTCACTCCCTTGCAAGATGGGAACAGGAATGACCTGACAAGTTCCCTTATCGACAGGTCAACCGAGATCGCCACAACTATCCGGTGCTCACGGTTTATTTAGCAATCCTTCATGTTGCAATGCCAGGAACCAACCTCCCGCCGCTCCCCCCACAGCGTGGAAAGAGCTGCGCCTGAACCCTAAAACAAGAAGGACGGACCTACAGGCCTGCCTGCGTTCCGGCACTGCTTCTCATTCTGATTTCTCATTACAGCGTAGCTCTCGTTCAAGTTGAAGTCCAAAAGCACAGGTAGGTGACAACTCTATTTGGAGAACTTGAAACGAGAATCAATGCTGTCTTCATTGCTGAAGAATTATATTCAAATGGATTTAACAATGAGACATCGGAAGGATCTATCACCCACTTTTGAAAGCCTTTCAAGAAGGTGGTTGACTATGATGGTTTGGCGAGACGAACTTCGTGGACTGTACCGTTGGCCATTGACAATTCTGGAACACACGCACTCACTTAACCCAGAAGGGTTCTTGATTTGACACCTGGCAGCCCTACTCGGAGTTGCATTGCTAATGTGAGCTGGCTTTTTCTACTACATCGTAGTAGGAAGCTACCGTAAGCTTCTGCTGCGGCTGCTCCAGCCAGCAGCCAGGCCTGCAGTGTCTGCACTCAAGACATGCACAGTCAGCTTCAAAGTAGCCAAACAGACAACTAAGCTATTCCTCGCCGCTACTCTTCTTGGCACACAAACCAATGTTTGCTGTCACCAACCTGGCCGATCTCTTCATCCCCTCACGTTCTCGTTACTAGCACTGTTGTCATTGGCATCTACACAGTGTATTCATCGCATCCCTTGTTACTCCAGAGGGTTTGACTGCGCTTGGCAACAGAAGAAAGGTAAGCAGAATGAATCCCAACCCCGCTTGGTGCTTGCCATGTCGTCAGCCATACTAGTACACACAAATGCTGCAGTAGAGGCCCCTGAGGCCTGAGGCTCCGTTTTGGGGATGATCTTGATTGGCGATGAGCATGGCTTTGATTCTGCACCACTATCTACCTACCTATTACGTTCCTTGTCTAACCCCGGTGCTTCGTGTGCGGTTGTGTGTGGAAATCTAGATGAAGACCAAGAAAAAGGATGTTAAGAAAGCTATGAAGTACAAGAAGGCTCCTGACGCTCCAAAACGTTTCAAGTCGGCTTTCATCATCTTCTCAGCTGAAAAGCACAAGGAGATCAAGAAGGACCTTCTAGACGAAGGAAAAGCTGTCAAGGTAAGTCAAGAATCAACACTATTTGGTGTTTTGGTGTAGCGGGGTGGCTGAACCCGGTGTAGCTGGGAACTGTTTCGAGGCTCGCTGGTAGAGGTGCCCTCTCAACAAGTATCGTGTGTATTATCCGCCCGTAGACTACAGATATTGCCAAGATGGTTTCAGAGGCATGGAAAAAGCTTGATCCTGATGCGCGGAAGGACTGGGATGATAAAGCTGATCGTGACAAGCAAAGGTAGGTCAAGTCGAGTCGTACTATTAGTATGCGAAACATTACACCTTCAACGTCGGCCAAACTCACAGAAATGGTACTGTTCATCCCAGGTACGAAGCTGAGAAAGCCATGTATAAAGGCCCCTGGAAGATTCCAAGCAACAAGCGAAAGACCAAAGACCCATCTGCACCAAAGCGACCCATGAGTGCATTCTTGGCATACTCCAACAGCCGCAGAGCAGAACTCAAGAGGAGCAACCCAAAGGCTACCAATGCAGACTTGTCACGGATGTTGTCAAAGACGTGGAAGGAGCTTCCTCCAACTGAACGAGCAGGTACGTCGTTTGATGAACTGATGCGGGTCATTGTTGAGTTGGAACTCACCTGAACTGTGAAAACAATTGCCCCCGTCTGCAGTGTACATGGCAGAAGAGAGAGAGCTTAGGGAGCAATACAAGACCAAAATGTCAGATTGGCGCACGAAGGTGGCGGAGGAAAAGAAGGTAGAAAGAGAAGAACGGGAGGTCGCAGCCATGCAAGCCGCAGAGGCAGGGCAAACGCATCAGGGAATGGACCCAGATGCAGTGACTCCCAATCGCGGCCCGGTGGACTCTAAATGGGTCGGTTCCATGCAACAACAGCACCATGAGGACGTACCTAACCAGCAGTTTCAGCAACAGGGACAGCCAAACCCCCAACAGCAGCAGGTCCCAGAGTCACATCCACACGTCAATGAGATGGCTCCGCCTGGCATGTTTGCCAACCCGTACTTTCCTGCAGCTGCATTTGGTGGCGCTGGGCAAGCAGCACTTGGTGGTTTGAATCCGGCTTCCGCAAACCCCTATCTTGTCAATGCCTTTGCCGCCAATCAAGGCTACATGCAAGGAGGCAATCCTGCCATGTCGTCGTTATTTGGTAAGTGTACATGCAACAGTAGTCGCACCGTCATGCGTTTTTGTCTGGAAAGATCCTGACTTTTAGTCTGCGACTCACGAACACTTTTCAGGAGGGCAACCACCACCGTACATGCCAAATGGCGGCATGCCAGGACAGATGCATCCTGGTTTGTACGGGCACGGGCCGAACTTTGCTGGTGGCGGCGGCGGAATGCAGGATAGCGGCGCAGGACCAAATGGTGGCTACGGGCAGATGCAGCCCTAGTCGTTGTTGACGGTCTCCCATCCGGAGTCGATTCAGCTGGGATTGAATGTTTGTTGTTGTGGAAGTTATTACACTGTCAGGTTCGTAATGGAGGCTCTTCAAAGATCGCCGTTCTCTTGGCAAATGATCTTGGTGGCGCTAGAAGAGTTTTGGCACGTCATGTTGTTGTAATATTATTTTTGTGGTGTATTGAATGAAGCTGGGAGGTCGCGAGGAGAAGAACTTGAGGTTCAATCAACATTACTACTAGCCTCGGTGCAGGGAACGGGCGAGTGTACCAAAAGACATCATATTGGATACTAGCTAGTAGTATAAGTGATATTGTAGTGCGGGGGTAGAGAAGAACTAGCTTCCGTAGTGGCCTTCAACTATGGTGGATGGAGAAGTCTCCCACGGATTCGATTCCTTCAACAATAACAAAATTCTAATAATAATCTCCCTACTCTAAACTCCCATCGCATATCCTCCATATTCGAAGTTACAGTACTGTATGCATACTGTAATACAGCGTAGACAACGTTTCAGGTTGGTTTGTGTTCGTTGTTGAATGGAAGAGTGCTCAAGCCGCTCTACCGGCTTCTCACGGTATCTTCGGCTGGTGGGGCTGCTGCCGTCGAACAGTCGAAGGCAGGAATTAGCAGAGCCAATGCATGGTGTAATGAGATGCATCTTTCAATGTCACACTCTCTGGCTGGAAGCAGTAGTGTGTCGTGTCGAACTGTTGCTGTCACCATCGCGTCTGCTGTTTGGTTAGTTTTCAACGCTGCTTCGGTCAGAGCCTTATCATCTCGAACTCCACCCTTTTTTGAAGGGAACGCCCAGAGAGACCTGTCAACACTACGTGAATGGGCCACAAAGAATGGAGTTCGATTTGCAGAGAACGTAGGTTTTTCAAACTCTGGTGAAACTGATGGCGACCAAGCTGACTGGGCAATCTCACTGTTAGATGAGGATGTCACTTCTACTGGTAGCACTCTGAGAAAGGGAGCTGTGGTGTTGAGTGTTCCACAGGATTTGGTCCTGAGTTCGTCAAAAGTTTTGGATGAACTAGGAGGTATCTCTGCCCTGCAAAGCGCCTTTGATTTTCTCGAGGAAGAAAGCTTTGGAGACTTCAAGTCAGAATTTCTTCTCGTTCTCAAAATGCTGAAGGAATTGTCCAAGGGGGGAGAAAGCAAGTGGTGTCCATGGATTCAGAGTCTGCCAAAGCACTTTTCTACGGGAATTTCCTTCGACAATGCAGAGATTGAATGCCTTCCAACCTTTTCTGCCGTCTTGGTTGAGTATGAGTGCTTGAAGCTTCAGGCTTTCGGTGTCGCAACCAGTAAATTGGATCACAAGTGGATTCCAGACATTGCAACCAGTGATGGCATGGTGATCTTGAAATGGGCTTACAATGTTGTGTACTCGAGGTGCTGGAAGTTTTCAGATTACCTGGAGGAATCTGACGGGGGCGACTCTGACATTGTGCCCATTGGCGATCTTTTCAACCACAAGGAGCCAGCTAATGTGGCTGTAGAAAATGAACCCTCATCTGGCTCGGTCGACTTTGTACTCCAAAACAGTGATACCGGGACGGCTGTTGGTGCCAACAAAATCAACAGTCTCTGTCTCTCCTATGGAACGTCCAACCCACACCGATTTCTTGTCATCTTTGGCTTTGTTGATGAATCCATGCCGGAGATTTTTTCTCAAATCACATTCCCAAACCCTACGGCCGATCACATTGCATTGGGCTGTGAAGATCGATCCAAGATGGTCTATGGCACAACAGATGGTTGTATCTCCAACGACACGATACGGAATTCTGTGTTGTTCGCTCTCTTGGTATCAAAGCCAGAAGAGCAAAAGGCATTTGTTGAAGCCCACAGACAACAGAAGCAATCAGTCATGAGGGATTTCCACTCAAAGTATGCATTGGAAACTGCATTGACCTTGAAAAACCATGTCAGTGCAACACTAGCGGAACTTGAATTACTTGGAAACCGAATCGAGGAAGTGAAACGGGAAGACACTCAACAACGTCAACACAGCAATCTTCCTCTCATAGAAAAACACAATCAGTTCCTACGGAGAGTCTTTGGAAAAGTCAAGAAACGCCTGGATGCTGCTGTCGAAGAAGAAACTCTGAGGCGTCGAACTGCCTTTGCCAATCAATAGCGTTTTTTGAACTTCAGTTCACTCGTTCACCACCCTGGTTTGCAAACACTAATCTTCGTTGGCTAGCCAGTCTAGGTCTGGTTGTTGTGTTTTTGGTTATGATTGCGACAGAGTTTCGTCCAGGTGAATCCAATGCTATGTGTCAGAGCATGTAACAACAGGCACTAGTTTTGTATCTAAAGTATTGCTATCGATTACATGAAAGTAAGCTTTCAACTTCCAAGCATACACAAGCCGAAACGACCACACGCACAATCATTTTAAAACCTCCTTCAACTCCGCTCAAATCAGTTTCCCTCCATATTGCCTAGACCACCACCACCACCATATCCTCCTCCGAGGTTGTTTCCGTAGAGGCCTTGCTGCATGCCCCGGTTGAGACCTTGGTTCAGTCCCTGATTGAGACCCTGGGGAATGCCTTGCTGCATGCCCTGGTTCAGCCCTTGGTTGTTTTGGAATTGACCCATGACGCCTGGATTCATCAAATTTTGCCCTACAAGTGAAAGGATTTCAAGGCGACAATCAGTACACAGAATGACCCCTTTCTGGTTGCTGCAGAGAACTCACGAAAGACAAACTTACCCATCAAAGCGGAAAGGTTGCCGGCCTGGCCTTGCATGTACGCAGCCTGATTGGCCAAGGCGTTTGCCAAGTAAGGATTTGCGGCCGCAGAAGCCGAGTTCAAACCAAACGCAGCCGCCCCCATTGCGCCACCAAAACCTCCTCCGAGACCGGCTGCCTGAAGAGCGTAGGGGTTGTTTCCACCTCCAAAGAATGCTGCGTTCGCATTCATATTCTGTTGAGCCATCGCTGCATTGGGATCGCCTCCCATGCCGCCAAGTCCCCCGGAAGGGTCTCCACCGGCTCCAACTTGCGCCGCAAGCATTTCTCGCTGCTGCTGCATCAAAGCCTGATGTGGGTCCATCTGACCCATCTGATGCATGGCCCCCATGGGGTCACCTCCATTTCCACCAGCATTCATTCCGCCTCCCATTCCCATGCCATTTCCCATGAACTGATCTTGCTGCTGCTGCTGCATTTGTTCCATGAGTTGCTGCTGTTGCTGCTGCATCTGATGAACAGCAGGATCTTCAGCGGGAATTTCCTCGCTTATTGCCGGTTGAGCCATGGCCGGAGGCTCAAGCTCTTCTCGTTCCACTCTTTCCGCCTTCTTTTGTTTGGCAGCCTTCTTGCGCCAAACAGCCATGTCTTGCTTGTACTTGGCGCGGAGTCCTGCCTCCTCTTCCATATAGACAGCCCTTTCCGTGGGTGGCAACTCTTTCCATGACTTTGACAACATCTTTGAAAGGTCTGCATTGGTAGCCTTTGGATTCTTTCGCTTGAGCTCTGCTCGACGGCTATTTGAATAGGCGAGGAAGGCACTCATGGGCCGCTTTGGGGCAGACGGGTCTTTGGAGGAGCGCTTGCTGTGGGCTGGGATCTTCCAAGGTCCCTTGTAGTTGGCCTTTTCTGCTTCATATCTGGTTATGACAAGAGGGAAAGCTGTTGAGCTGGCCAATATCCCAGCAAGCGAACGATTGTAATTGGATTAGGTTCGCCACAGATAGGACCTACCTGGCTCTGTCTTCCTCGGCCTTGCCCTCCCATATTTCACGTTCCTCCGGGGGCAACTGCTTCCAACTCTCGGAGACTAGTTTGGCAATGTCCGTGGTCTGGAATACAGTAGCGGCAATATATCAGTCACTTGATTCCTTGGTGACAAATTAGTGAACCTCTAGCACAGCCAACGCTTACCTTTTCGGGGCGGCCCTCTTCCTCCAGCCGCTTCTTGATCTCCTTATGCTTTTCGGCAGAAAAGATAATGAAAGCCGACTTGAAACGTTTCGGGGCATCCGGAGCCTTCTTGTACTTGGCGCTGGGCTTTTTCTTCTTTCCTTCTGCAAGTCGCAACAAGAGAAACGCAATCAAAGGAGGAAGTTAATGACTCGCTTCGCACACAGCAGAGGGATCACGATCGCTAGATAGGGTCATTCCGTTGGGTAGCCTCAAAAGGCACGACCGATCGAGAACCCATGGCAACGAGGTACGGTACGATGATAGCAAGAGCACCACAGATGCTTTGTAAGCCCGACATGCACCTTTACTCATCATCACAGAACAAGCAGCTCGACACATCAACAACAACAAACATATCATAGCGTGTCATGGTCGGTGAAGACCGCCGCAAACATCACCGGACATCGTGTCAACGATTCCTGTTTCGCCGCCTCCACTCCGATGTTGATCGATCATTGCTACCACCATACCCCTTAGAATCTATGTGTGTTCCTACTTACCCTTGACTTTCGGCATGGTTTCGGCTACAGTAATACTGTGTTCAAGTAGTAGGTGATTGAGTTGATTACTCCGTTCTTTCTCTGTTGGTTTTTTGTAAAGTATGGAAGTGGAGAGTGGGGAGGCTTCGTCGTCTAATTCTGCCACAGTGCTTTACCGTACTGAAGCTTGGTGCAAAGCAGCAGTACTAAATCCTCTTTACTTCAGAGGCTAAAATTAAAAGGGGCATGTGAAATTTGTGGAATTGGTGAAAACGTCAGCTACAAAAAAGATTTGGTGTATAAAAGGTGAAATTGGTGAAATAAAATTATATTCTTATTGATATTTCGGTTTATTCTTGTTCCGAATTGAAATACTCTCACGAATGTGCCGTAGATTATTGTTTCGTGGCATATTTTGTTTCAAGTGTTGTATTATTAGGTTTCCTAGTTGTAAAATGATTCTTTACATGAAAACGGACTGAATATTATGTCAATTTTACAAAAGACAACAAATATCCCCCAAATTCTACAAGCACAAACCAGCGTGGCAATATCAAGCCGGCTTCCCTTCGTGGTCATTATGGAGAGTTCCGCTGGTGCTTTTTCAATTATGTCAGACAGACTGGCGTCACTGGCGTACGCCCTCCAACCGGAAGCACTGTGACGAGCAGTACTACCGGTACTGGCAGTAGGTGTGGTCTCTTTGCAACAGAAACCAGCCACCAGCAACAACCTGTGGAGACAGAAGACAGTGAATGTAACAGGAACGATCTTACACCAGACCAAGTACAGTACCACTCAATAGAACACTACTGAGTATCTAGTGCTCCAGATTCCAGAATCTGATAGCTGGCCAGTGAGGGCACCAATGGTCTTTTGGGAAGCGTCTTCCTTTGGTACATGTACCAGTACATACTCCAGGCCAACAAAAATCCTCGAGCTGTTCCAGTTTCTTGGTTTCTCTGGTTTCTTGCTGCGCGAAGAGCTCTGATTGTCTCCCAGCAACCTGTCCGACTCTTGAGTATTATCATAGATCGGGTAGCACACACTACCGGTACGGAACCAACACGTGCACCCATTTTTACGGGTGCAAAGGAGAGGTCCCTCCTGGCTTTTTAATGAATTTCTCGGCAGCGGTCGAATCGTAGTAATGCGCTGCTTTCAACTTAGGTACTACTGTATCTACTAGCTAGGAGAGCAAGGCGGAGGGGGGCTCATAGGGCTTTCGTCGGCGACACTGGCATTGGTTTTAACAACCAGCAACCAAGCCAGTAGAAAGCCGTGTGGCGACAACTGGATTTCAAGTTAGGCCGGACCCGGCTCAAGATATGTCACAGCCTGCAGACATCAAAGGATGAAGCAAGCAACAGGAAAGGGTGGTACTTTAGAAAGGTAGAGAAAGGTGGTTGGATCAGTCTGGTTACTACCTGGTACTAGCGAGCTACAGTCTTGCTTGTTGTCTGCTGTTGCCAACCAGTAGACGAGCTACATGTAATGGGTTGTTCGCTTCTATGGTATCATCCAACCTCTCGGAGTGACTGGACTTGACTTACGTGTTGGGGGGCTCTCCTCTCCGGAATCGAGTCCTCAGTCACTCGACCGCATTACTTCACATAGCGTCGCAACTGATGTGTTGACAGCTCCCCCACTGCATTACCTTAAATCTCTTTGTAATAATTTCCTGTTTATGGCAAGGTAGCCGTTTACCGGTCACATAGAGCAAAGGCGACGCTCCGGCCATTTCAAAACCTTGGATCTCGACATCTCGACCACACGGAAGGCCATTTCAACCCTCGTGCCTCAAGCCACCGCCTTGATCATTTGCATTGCAACATCGTTCGGTTGCTATCTTCACAGCTTGTGGTGAGATTCGATTCAAAATAAAGAGTGTGAAAACAGCAACAATCATGGCAGGAAGGATGGATACTAGTTTTAGTTTGCCCATTTCGGACTCTGAAGTTATGATGATGAACCGGAGCAAGAAATCTCATCGCCGTTCTCAGTCCTATGATTCAGCCGATTCTTCGAAGGACGGAAGTTGCAAATCCGGGAGAATGCGACGAAAAATGCATTGGTCCATGAAGGACTTGTTGGTATCTACGACATTGGGTAGGATTGAAAATGAATCGGTGGGGAGTGCTGAACATACCTGTGCCACAGAAACAACCGTGCACAGTCCAATCTCACTTTCTCAGAGCAACCACAACTCCAACAAGCCCCGGAACGACAAGAAAGATGCAGATGAGCTTGAACCCCTGTTGAGAAGCACGCACGCTTATCCGAAGAACGCCGCCAACAACAAGGACAAGCGAAGGAAGTATCAAACAGCCCCTCATAGGGTTGCAAGACTGCATATTCATCCTCTGGGAGGAAGAGCCCATGGAAGCTCCGGGCCAAAACCAAAGCTGTTGGCTCCGCCTCGTCGTCCCTCGTTTGGTTCCCGACAAAAGCTCATTCCTCGCATTTCACACGCATTGATTGACCCACTAAACAACAGTCGGTCTCTGACCCCAATATCCTTGAAAAGTGAGACACGTGAAAGCAGACGTCCACAATCACCATCGATGCCGATCACACACGAGCTCTTTGAGCAAAGCTCGAGCAGTGCGACAACCCTTACACCCATTTCACCAACAAAACTCTCCTTTAGTGACCTCGACAGTGCCTCCTCGGCAGACATGGAGTACCAGTACGGTATCGATATCTTTGCTGTGGAAACCGACTACAATGAGTTGTCGCCTCTGTCCAAAAGCACTCTGTCTCAAAGCAATGAAATCTCGGTAGTTCTTTTTCCAGCCGAAGACAGCCAGAGCCATTGCGCGGCCTCCCCATTGACTCCCAGTCCGACAATGAGTTCACCACCCGTTCGGCAAGGTGAACGAAAGCCTCGCCCTCGTGTTCTGGAACGCATTCTGTCAGAGAGTAACTTTGCAGGTCACAACATCAACAGCATCAAGCCCCAGAAACAGGACTCTGGGAAGACCCTGAATACGGAACGGACAGCAGAGATATCCGAAACCCTAAGTGCCGAACCGCTATTCGCTCTCAGTTCTGATGATGATACTTTGTATACATGTACTGCCGCGACGGGCACCCCCTCAAGTAAGCAGCGATCTCAAACAACTCCAAGTGAACCTTTCAAGTCGTTGCTGTGTCCAGACACCGATACACCTACTCCACCAAAGTCTCAGCAACCAAAGCCAGCCCTACGAAAGTCCGTGCCAGTTGATGTGGACGATGTTCGCTTTGTCGACGTAGAAGGAAACATGGAAGCGATAGGCGAGCTCGTAGACGACTGCCTAGAACGGGGTGACTACGAAGAAGCCATTGTACTGCTCAAGGAAATTCTGCGTGGCAATGTCGAAATGAATGGATACGAGCATGAATCAGTGGCACTGACTTTCCACAACATTGCATCCGTGCAACTGAAACGAAAGAGGTTCGCCAAGGCACTACAGGCAGGGCAGAATGCGGTACACCTCAGAAAGCGTCTCCTTGGAGAGATCCACTTGGACACTGCTTCGAGCCTAGTCCTCGTTGGACTTGCGTACTTCGAGTTCAAGAAGTACGAGTCTGCGTTCAAGTCTTTTCAGGAAGCCTGGTGCATTCGAAGAGATTCCCCTGGACCAAGTAACGACAAGCTTGCGAAGGTACTCAACAACGTGGCCTGTTCGTTGAAGGCAATGGGACGGCTTGATGACGCCATGGTGATCCTGAATGATGCTGTTCAGTTACAGCGAAGGCTTCTTGCGTCGATTGCAAGAGGCGACAACGAAGTATGTCAAACGACTACGGTGGATCAGCTATCACTGTCCATGTTCTCCACTTTGTCAAACATCTGCAGCGTGAAAATTTCGCTCGGACGATTCGACGAGGCATTAGACTCATTAGAAGAGGCTTATGATGTAAGTGGAACCTCCAACAGCTCCCAATAGCTCTTCCAGTAGAGTGGACGGAAATGCTAACTCAATCATCGCTGTTCTTCTTCTTGTCTGCGTAGATTCAATCTTCCACTCTTGGTGAAGACCATCCCCAAGTTGAAGAAACTAGAAAGGCAATTGCCTTCGTTTGCGAGAAGAGGAGCATGCTTGACCCATCCAAATCTATCGAATCATCTGTAAGTGAACGCTCATGGAACGTTTCGTTTCACCCTTTAGACTCTCGGTGGGCTCACTCAGCCTCCAATCCATCAATCACCAGGCCAACAATAAAAGCAATTCTTCGACTCTGGCGTCTAGTCACCAGACGGAAAACACATCCTGCGAAACTCGACTCTCATCAGATGCGCTTGAGGTGGTTCGACTCGCCCTGTGAAAGCTGCGAAGCCATACAATTCCTTGTTCAATAGTTTGTTAAAGAAACGTAGACAGACCCCTCCCTTCCCGTTTCTACCTCCTTCCCCCTCTTTTGGTTGCTGCCTTTTCACCCATACCGGTACATCAAAGCCGCCAGAGTTATGGCGTGCACAACAATGCGCCATGCTTCAATTCACCTAGCACGGCTGTTCTAATCCTCCTTGAGCTGATGGCATTGACGCTCCCAAGCATCCAATCCTTTTTCTGCATTGGAGCTCACTGGAACCAGCTAGCTTGTCCGGCCACCCGGTCTCAAGGAAATAATTTGCTCTTTGTAAGTATCTATGGTACTGTAGTACAATGTTTGCATACCGGAGTGTTTGTCCCACGCAGCAATTGGATTATTAGCCTGGATCACTTTGTTACACCCTCAATGATTCTGCGGTGCAGGCTGTGTATGGAACAGAGCGACGCCAAGTACTCTAACATATAGGCATAGAATTCGTTAACCGTAGTACTCTAGCCAGTAAGGATCTTGTTCTTAAAGATTTGCCTCTGTGGTGAAATTTTTAGACAGGTACATGTACTGTACTCGCGTGTGAGGCCACGCGGATGGTGGTGGTGGGGGGGGGGGGGGGCAACAATGCAGTCCTACAGTACTGGCAGGTTGGGGCAGCTACAGATTCATGAAACTGAATGTATTAGTTTATTGAGTACAGCATTTACATGAGATAAGTTTTAACCAACAATATCCTTGTCACCGTGGAAGCTAGACTCCCGAATTCCACCATCCCGTCCTATTCACACCACTCCAAAGCAGCCAAACAACAAGCCACCCAGAACCACACCAGAAAGCGCAGCTACAATCCGAGCTGCAACAGAGGAATCGCTGGCGAAATTCTCCTCCTGTACCATTTTCACCGCAGTGCATCACGCTTCACCAACCAACAGCTGAGGTGGCACCACCGTCAGAATTTTGATAAAAAACCATCCCTTCTTTACATAATATACCGGTATAGTAGATTACGCCTGAGCTTGAGCGCACTTGTGAAAGTACTGTTCCGCCGTCTGGCAGACAAAGGATGTTTCGCTTTCTTTTCGGTTGGCTTGGTGGTTTTGTAGACACTGCGTCATCATCGCTTGGACCTGCGAACAGTCTCGCATGGTGTTGGCGCTGAGCATTGCAGAGTACATGGGACTAAAGTGAGTTCGGCTCCTTCGCGGCATGGCTGGAACTTGACCCTCGTAGCTTGCAGAGGATTCGACGGGACGACTGGTGGCTAGTACTTTGGTGCTAAGGGTGCTTGATGCTGTCATGGTTGCGTGTGAGATTCGAAATCTAAATTAATGAGGAAGAAAACGAGAAAGGATTCTGTTGTTCTTGTCCCTCAAGACAAAAGGAGACTGAGGTGGCAAATAATTCGAACTCTAATTCGATGACGAGGCATTCTTTTTGATTTGCATCCAATCTGGTGTTTGAGGGAAGATCTCTAAATTCTCAGGGTTCTTTCGTTCCGCCGAATTGATGTCACTTGCTTGTACTAGCTAGTACTGGTATGCATACTGTTGGCAGCCTCTTTGCTGGTTCTGTTTCATACTCCAGATCAGTCAGATGATAGTATGTCAGATGATGGCACGCCAGATGTCAGAGGCTACCACCGCTTCCAAACCAGAACAGTTGCTGTCATCCAATTCTTTCTTTGGTTGGCATTTCTCTGAATCAGTCTGGTAGGTTCATGTCAGCCAAGGAGGCAAACCAACCTTCTAAAAGAATAAACCGGTGGCTGTATTGATCCAGATTGTAGCCAATTTTTTCGCTCGTGGGGCCAATGTGTAATGATTTGCACCTACCGGTACCTGAGATGGATGTTTGTTCGAGACAGCAGAGGTTGACACCAGCCACAGCCACTATCTAAACCATCTTGCACTGTGTTACCACCAATACCGGTACAGTCAGTCTACCGTATTGCTCCAAACAACCAAAAAAGAATAGAGTGACCTGGTTATAATAAAGATCCGTGTACCGGTATGTAGCAACAGAATCGAATCCCATCTTCAGAATATGATCACAGAAAGAGAAGACGTCCGACATACTTTGGCATGTATTACCCCACTCCCCATGCAAGTCTGTTCGCACCAGCTGGAGCATGCACGAATGATCGTCTCTGGAACTGGTGCGCTGTCGTGCTGTCTTTGCGTGCGTTGCAGCATTGAGAAGTATCAAGATTGAAAAGAAAACGCGTTCCAACGGATCCCGAAAGAACTGAGATTGAATCGAATCTATCGAATTGAATTGAATCGAATGATTGAATCGACTGAATCGACTGAATCGATTCGATCGAGCCAAAATTCAAGCACACGTTGCTGGAAAATCGTTGATGACCCCTCAAATGCATGCCGGCAATAACGACGATACCGGTACGAGACAGTGTATGGAAGAAGGAAGCGCCAGGTTTTTAATAAAAAAGTTTGAGAGGATTGGCTCCATTCAAATAGGGACATCTGTTCTAGTCTATTGTGCCTGTGGCAAGCTTCCATTATCAACAAGAGCTGCTACTCTTTTATAACTGGCTTTCCAGGTGTCGGCACTTTTTGAGGACCTGGCATTCTTTTATCGGCAGTTTCTTCTGTACTGTATAGCACCTGTTGCATTTGTTCTTTCGATATTACAGAACAGTTTTATCCATCATAATGTCATCCCTGATATCTCCTCAGTTTCACAGTCGCAATGATCTGCGGGAATGGCCGGCCCTCCTTCGCAAAGGCGCTCGATCGCTCAAGATAGATCCTCATTTTGTGGACCACATGTCCGATAAGTTCATCCTTTCTCACAACACGCCACTCCCTTGGCAGTACCATCAGAATGAATACAGTACTCTGGACGACGTCTTGGTCTTTTTCCAACATGCTCCCTCTTATCTGCACGGACAACACATTGACATTGCCCTCTGCTTCAAGGCGGCTCCTCGCGATTTGTGTCATGCCGACCCCAGCGAAGAGGTGCGACACTGGATGCACATGGCAGACACTTTCTTTGCACAAGCCGACGTGGTCGTTCAACAGATCCAACAAGAAATGAGTATCACCTTGACCTTTGTACTGGATGGCGACGGCAAGCCCTGTGACTGTTTGGCCGACAAGTTCTTGCCGTGGAAATCTGTCTGGATTGACAAGGACGAGTGCAGTCGAGATTGCTACAACAGTACTGACGGATTCTGTCAACGATTCACAATCCTCAATGATCCCATCACCAGTGATTGGCGCGGTATGGCTGCCGCAGATGCTCATTATGGAAAGTTTGGACTCAATCGTAACCAAACCCTGCAAATCTGGGAGCCTGATGCTCAGCTGGAAATATCACAGCTCATTGAGGGATACCTCCAGGGATATCATCAGGGAGTGCCGTCTGGTGGTGGATTGGCATTTGCTACCAACACTGATCAAGCCATGTTTGATACCTTTACGGCAAGACCCTTGGCGGGGACGAGACATGCCAGAGGATTCAACTTGGTGGTACAGGATGACCGCGGTGCTACGGAACCTAGCCTTGAATACAAAGAACCAGGAAAAGTGATGTTGCGCTACCAAACCAACCAGAAACAAGTGGAGCGCACTCTCACATTCCAACCATTCACCAAACTAGAGGTCGGGTCGCCTGTTCATGGCATATTGGAGCTGGGCCCAACAGAGACGTCCTTCTTTCGCGATAGCAGCCCGAGAGACATTATTCAAGCGGAGTTGGGAACGACAGCGTATCATCAGCTGTCCTCCTGGAGTGTCCTGAAGGTTTTGGACTACTCGTTCATCTTTGCCGCCGTTGGAGGGAAGGTTTACGCAGCAGCCAACCGGGACACTTACTCTGCTTCTTGGGACTTCCGCTTGATTGGATTGGGAACGCATGTACATGCGTCCTCGCTCAACACGACCGTGCTGCTCGTCACGGAAGGAAACCATTGCTACAATTCACACGAAAACAACATTCGTGCCGGTCCCTTGGTGTGTAGTCCACAGGAACATACCAAGAGACATGCTTGTCCGTTTGCATTGGACTACAGTGTCGCTACGGCTGAAAACTGGTTCCTGTGGCTACAAGGGACTCGTTCCGTGATTACCTCCTGCAATAGTCACATTCTCCATGGAACCTTCTCGGGGGGACAAAAGCCGTCTGGTGCTCTCTTTCCTCTCCACCGCTCAGGTGATGAAAAACAACAATCCGAGGACAAGGTGGGCATTATGGTTGCTCACGAGCCGTTTCCAGAAAACGCTCAAAGCCAGTGTGGTATGCCTCTGACGGGGGAGAAGGGGATTGTCCTTGCTTCTTTTGCTATTCCCGTTGTCAGAGACCGCTTCTCAGAAACTGTTCAACACGAAACACGCGTTGCCATGGAGGAATCCAGTTTTGACGATTTCATGGGGATCAAGGTTCTGTTTGCTTTAGGTCTCCTTGGGTGTTGGCTGGTGCTGCGATGGAGGAGAAAACGAACAGAACCGTACTGGTACGAAGGATGCTCGCAAGACCACCAAGCTGCCGAGCTTGTACCGGTAGCGGTTCAAGAACCCGTATAATAATGAAAGCAGAACATAATTCATAATGTCATCTAGAATAGAGTGATTATATACTTCGTGTGCGTCGTAAGAAACTTTGTCCTATTAGCGTGGTAAAGTACATGGATAATCTGTCCTCGTCCAAGTCTTGGTGGAAACCTATTCCGGCCAGCGCTTGAACTTCTCCCAACACCTTCAAGGCTTGTCCTCTACTGCATTGCATTCATTGTACAAGCCTCCTTACGGTTGCCGTTTGATCGAACTCAATGTTTAAACTCAACTAATCAACTAAATCAGTTCGTTGTCGGGATCATTCTCGGAATCGGCAATAAAGATCAGCCGTTGCCGTTCTCGGTACCGAACTAGCCAACTCTTGTGAAGCTGCCAAATGTAGACGGTACCCAGCAACAGCACCAGTCCCACTCCAATGGATGCCAGTATCAGTCGGAACTTGTCTTCTTCTTCGTTTGCAGAAACGTTATAGGGCGTGCCAGAATGATGATTGTGATCTCCGGGACCTGATGAGCTCGTTGACGAGGAACCTCCCTGATGACCGCCGCTACCGGCATTGCCATGACCTTGGGAACCGCCGTGATGTTGGTTAGTGCTGGTTGGGGCAACGGATTCTTGATCCCTGCATTCCCAATTATCCTTGACAAACTTGATCCAAACGTCGGTGTCGAAGAAACCGCTGTCTTGTTGTTTGGTTGTGCCATTGTATCCAATCTCATCCAACCCAGAAACGATGGTTTCGATTCCAAAGCTCGGGCTAAGGATTTCGTACTGTTCATTTGGGGCAAGAGTTTCCAACCGGGGAGCCAGATAGTAGTTTTCCCATTTTGGATTGAAGGCATGGGCACTTGGGTTCAAGACCTGCTTCACCAATTGCGTCACAACGGACCCAGGAATGTTGGGTCCGATGGAGATGAGTGAATCATTGAAGGGTGCCACGGCAATGACATCATCCTTGACAAGTTGCTGCTGTAGCAGGTCATACCGGAATGCCCATACCTGTCCGATATACACGCGGTTGCCGCCACTCTTGGACGGTTTGAGTAACTCGTAGGGTGCCACTTGGTCAATAAAGAGACGCCATAGCGAGTCGTCTTCTTGGGCAGTCCGATTCATGTAGTATGATTCAGGCGAACATCCCACAACATCCAGCAACCCAAGCTCCGTTCTCGTTCTAAGAATGAATTCGGAGAGCCGTCTTCCATCTTCTGTGGTAAATTGCTCATCACTAATATCACCCAGAATTTGCTTCAACGTGGCAACATTGGTGTCAATAAATCTGTGGTGAAAGTATTTTGCTACGACTGGAGTGGGTGCCACGGTTGGTTGTGGAGTACTGACGGGTGGGACAGTTCTGTTGGCAGTGGCAAGTGGAGTTGGCGAAGGTGTTGCTGCTTCCGTGGGACGACTTGATGGTGCAGACATACTGGTAGTTGTGTTAGCGTTGGTTGTTGCAATAGGAGCACCAGTCGTGGCAGTCGAAGTTGATGTGGTTGTGGTTGTGTCATTGCTAATGCTGGGAGCTGTTGTAGGATCGGAGACATTTTGCCATTCTGTCCCTCCTGGCCCCAAAAGAGGAGTTGTCTCATTACTATTTCCTTGAAGGCTCCTACGATGATTGGTCAAGGTTTGCTTTTTGGGAAATGATACAAATCCAATGGTATCGAGGAATTTGCCGGCTTCGAATGATACGGAAGCCGCATCCAACGTTTCAATTCTTCTAAAATGGGTGTGTCCAGTCAAGAACTGGACGGGCATGTGATCGCCCACAAGAGATCTTATTTTGTCGAGCAGTACTGTGACCAATTCATCCTTGACATCCATGTGTGCCATGATGAGGATGGCATCATAGTCTCCCGTTGGTTCGTTATTGGCATTCGTCACCACATCAACAAACCACGGTTCTTCCACCACGGATTCCACAGTCTCCACTGTGACGAGGGAACTTGCGTCTTGCATGTTGTATAGGAATCCAAAAGTCAAAACAGTGGAATTTTTGCCTCTCAAGAATCGATATCGTTCGCCCAAAGGCTGTTGGTGTGGATTGTAAATAACGTTGGAACTCACGTATCGGTCACCCCACCACTCCACAAAGCCACCAGGTCTCATGAACTGTGTGACCACTTCGTCCCGATATAATTCATGATTTCCCACATTGAGTGCATCCCAGGGCATGTGTTCCAATATGGGCGTCAGGTAGGAAGTGTCGTCATTGAGGGAAATTCCCGTACCATCGATCCAGTCCCCATTGACAACAAACCATAGATCCATTTCGTGTTGCTGGCAATGAGCATGAAGAAGTTGATAAAAGGACAAGACGTCTCCATAATCCACATTATTGCTGTTATCGGGCGCACTGCTGCTGTGTCCTCCAACCCAAGAATGAACATCCGTCAGCACCAACACGTTAATGTCTCCAAAGGGAAGATCCACATTTGTGACTGTTGTCGTTTCCGCCAAACTCAAGGGAAAGCTTCGTATTGACAGAATGGCACAAATATACAGCGATGCAACCAGACTGGATGGTTTCCAATGGAGACTGAGGCTCGATCTCATGGTGCTTATCGAATAAAAATGGGGAAAAGGGACACCTTCCGTGAAAAATGTGAATGCCAACGGTAGCAAAGAGAAAACTGTAGGCGGGTATCGGTATCTTCAGGAGAAACAACCTAAATCTGCAGGACTTGATCAAAGCTTTCGTTGTCTTCTGTTGATTGTTACTCTTCGTATGTTTCTTTGATCAACCTACCGGTATGAACGAGGCCAGGTATTGTGCTGCTTGGGTCTTGCTGGGTTTATGGCGTGGAGAGATTGTTGCTTGGGTTTGTTGTGCGTTGCCTCTCATCCATGCATCATCCGTGTGACGTCGCTTCGGTTAAATCGAGTCTTGCGCGGCTTTGCCGGAACCAGGATCCATCCGACCATGCTGTTCTGCAGCCCAGACTCTGGAGATCGTAATCGTGGTGATGTAGACTTGCTAGTAGCTACCGGTACAGTAGCTAGCTGCTCATGTTAGCTAGCTAGCAAGCTGCAGCACTGTATCGGTAGCCTGTCTCTCTTGAGGTTTTATCTCTTGATCATGGCCCCCGAAAACAGTTCCCCGCATCAAAAAGGACTCTTGCGGCAGCGGGACGAGTCCTACCGTACCGGTAGTTTGGTACGGTATCAGTTCTCAATCAACTATGTCCAGCACAAGATCTACATGCCATCCGGCAAAAAGCCAGATAAGACTGATGTGTTTTGTGGAAGTAATGAAAATGTAGCTACAACTATTTGCTATTGTTTTCCGGCCTGGGTCCAAGAAAACACTTGGGTCCTACTCATGACCAATGCCGGCTGACAACAAGTCTGCAAACAAATGTTGTGCTCAAACCTCTTCTTCTTTTCTCTCAGTTTTGTCCCCTACACAATGCGCGCCTCTCAAAAGACTAGAACTCCATCGTCGTATCTAAAAAAGTGTGGTTCCACGTCGCACGCTTCGTACTGCCGGATGCCTCGAATAAATTAATCCACTACAAAAGAGGGGGATCAAAAATGTTGTCAGCTGTTGTTCATGCATTGAAACCGTACATCAGATCGTCACGAAATGGCACGTACCTTTGATTGTGGAAAAGATTTTGTGAATAAAGGCCAAGGACGTCAAGGCACCAATGGATCCAAACACCAAAAACATGGAAAAGGAAAGCAAAGACATGTAGCCAAAGTAGAGAAGGTAGGTCATGATCATCTTGGATGCCTCCAGAGTTCGGAACCAAATCACACTGTAGCCAAACATGTAGAAGGAAGTACTTCCGGCACAAAAGAACGAATACCACCACCATCTGTGGTTCTCCGCGCAGAGTTGGTAGTAGACCGAAAGAAGGGTGACTTCCGCACAGGTGATGATCAAGATAATGTACACAATCAAAGTGAAACCAAAGACATAGTAGAACTGGTCCATCCAAAGACTGGTCATGATGAAGAACAGCTCAACATAAGCAGCGGCAAAGGGGATGATACCAGTCAAGGTCATTCCAATCATTGGGTTGAGTAGTGGAGACGGAGGCGGGATCGCCCTGGCAATCGTAGAGGTGACTGTAGGGAATTCAAAAGCCTCCGCCTTGTAACCGAAATAGGCACCCAAAAAGGTGAGGGGGATGGAAACACAACACCACATGGCCGCCACAATTAGGACATCCAGAAATGGGGCCGAGGCAGACGATTGCATGAATGCCAAAATAATGTTGAAGAAAAGGAACATTCCAAAGGCAGCTCCTGGGAACAATGTGGCAGTGAGGACAGTGCACACCTGCCAGAGGCGACCGCGGAATGACTTGTAGAGACGGCTACTGACGTATCCAGAAAAGGAACCGCATAGCATGTAAAAGACCAATGCAGCATTCATCAAGGAGCCACGTCTAGCAGGAGACAAGAAACCAATTGCCGAAAAGACAATGGCACAAAAGAGGGCCAATCCGAGCTGAACTCCTGTTCCCACAAAGACACAGAAAATCATTGGCATGGTGGATGGAGGGCGGAAAACATCAGCATGAACCAATTTCCATCCCTTTTCGTCTTCTGCTTCCTCAGCGTCCTCTTCTGAGAGAGCGGCTAGAGCATTGTAAGCAGCAATATCCCTGCGCAAATTCCTGACAAGAATGGAGATGACCAAGAGGGAAAGGAAGACAACCACCAAAATAGAATTGGTGATCGAATACCAATGCACTTGGGCGGGGACCAAATGATCCTCAGTGAGATACACATCCCAACGGGACGACCAGGCCACCTCGCTTTCCCTCCAGAGGACGTCATAGGTAAATAAGACCTTCTCGTTTGGGTTGACGATCTGTAGACTTTCAATTCGATCACGATCCATGTGCTCTGCAGAGGATGCTGGCGGGCAGGTAGACAGAGGCTTTTGAATTCCGTCCAAACTGAGTCCATCCCAGTCATAATTTCCCTGGAATTTGTGGGCGACACTGAGAGGCTCTACAGCAAAGCCGACCACTCTGTATCCCTCGTCTTCACGCGTGTGGTAGTCAATATTGATGTTGACGTGGTTGTAGATGTAAGCTTTGGTTTTGTCATTCGACATGATACCGATTGGAAATCCTCCAGCATAGTGCTTTTGTTCCTTGCCATTACTAACAGCCAGGTTGGCAGAAGGGAGATTATCAATAATCCAATTGTTGTGGTATCCGTACTTAATGTGCAACCTCAGCTTTGCGGCTTCAATGTTGGTGAGCTGGACCTGGCAGACTTTGTGGCAGAAAACCTCTTCCAGCATGGTGATGGCGTAGGGGGAACTTTGAATCTTATTGCCAGTGAGGAACTCGCCCAAGTTCTCAGAGGCCATCTTCGGACCTCCCTCAGGCTTACAGTATGGAAGACGGTAGTAATCCTTGGGAATCTGGGTGTGCACCGAAGTCAGGGCATTAACCTTCATTGGCACATCATCACCGCGTTGGAAATTGAGGGGTTGGACTCCGGGAACGTAGAAGACAGCATCGCAGCTTCCAATTAAAGCTACCCCTGCCAAGGCGACTCTCGCCGTCCACTGAAGAAGCGTCATGGTGCACTAATAGAAATCAAACAATGCCAGGTCTCTGAATGCTTGCGCAAGGGTAGAATAGTTACTCAATTGATGGCTCGACAATAATTTTTAATGGTGCAGCAGCTGGTGCGGTTTGTTGCCGGCTTCGTGGAGATCCTACCAGGGTTTACGGCTGGCAGAAAAAATGCTGAGGGTCATTCGATCTTCGCCCACAGCGCACACGAACCAGGCAACTGGCCGGTCCGCGGTTAGCAACCGCTATTTTATTTTGAAGAACACTTTACTGCTGGACTATTGCGGTCGCACACTCACCCACAATTTGGAATCGAATGATCAATCCGTTACCGTGATTGGAGTCCAAGCTGCGAAGCAAGCCAACGACAACAGGTTGCAAAACTACGAGTTCCGTACGGTACGGTGGCAAACTTACAAGCAGCCGGAAGCCGTCTAGCTAGCTACCGCTGAACGAAGAAGAGGTGCCACCAGAAACATTATTTTATTCGAGCAAGCTCAACTACCAGCATCAAGGTGAACCAAATGAGTATGACCTACAAATTCCATTATCATATTAACTTTCTAACAAACCACCTTTGGAGTGCCACAATCCGCTTACTTTAGTCCACCTTGATAGTTCCAAAAATGGTCCTGACAAACCACAAGGAAGTGAGAGCCCCAACTGATCCCGTGACCAACAACATTCCAAACGAAATGAGGAACATGTATCCAAAGTAGAGCAAGTATGTAATGGGCATTTTGGAGGCCTCCAATGATCCAAACCAAATGATGCTGTACCCAAACATGTAGAAAGAAACAGATCCAGAGCAGAAGAAGGAATACCACCACCACCTGTGGTTCTCAGCGCACAACTGGTAGTACACACAAAGAAGTGTCACCTCTGCACATGTGATAATCAAGATAATGTACACAATCAGGGTGAAACCAAAGACGTAGTAGAATTGGTTCATCCAGAGGCTTGTCATGATAAAGAACAGCTCCACGTAGGCCGCGGCAAAAGGAATAATACCAGTCAAAGTCATTCCAATCCAAGGGTTCAGAGTAAGCGGAGGTTCAGGGATGGACCTGGCAATGCTGGATGTAATGGTTGGGAACTCCATTTTGTCCTTCTTGTATCCCACAAAGGCTCCAACAAAAGTCAACGGGATAGAAATGCAACCCCACATGGCTGCCACAATGAGGACATCCAAGAATGGAACAGATGCCGAAGAGTGGTGGAAGGCCAACACAGTGTTGAAAAAGATAAAGATGGCAAAGGAGATTCCAGGGAAGAGGGTTGCTGTCAAAACTGTGCACATCTGGTAATATTTTCCATCAAATGCTTTGTAGAGCCAGCTGCTAACATATCCAGCACAAACACCCGATAGCATGTAGAAAGCCAAGTTGGCATTCATGAAGGAGCCACGTCTGGCAGGGGACAAAAATCCAACAGCAGCAAACACAATGGCAAAAAGAGTGGTCAAACCAAGCTGAACTCCAGTTCCCATGAAGACACAGTAGAGCATGGGTCTGTTTTGAGGAGGACGGAAAACATCGGCATGAACCAATTTCCAGCCCTTTTCATCCTCTTCGTCGCCTTCCTCTTCATCTGTGAGAATGGCCAAAGAATTGTAAGCAGCAATATCTCTTCGGAGATTGCGCACCAAAACAGAGAGGACCACAAGAGAAAGGAAGAGGACAACCAGAATGGAGTTACTGATGGAATACCAATGAACTTGGGGAGGGACAAAATGGTCTTCAGACAAATAAACATCCCATCGAGAAGTCCAGGCAACATCGCTCTTGATCCAAGTAACATCGTAGGTGAAAAGAATCTGCTCGCCGGCTCTGACAACTTGGACGGTTTCAACACTGTCTTGGGAGATAAAATCGGTTGTTGCGGTTGGGCAGGTTTCGAGTTCCTTGTGGAAGCCATCGCTGGCCATTCCATCCCATTCGAATCCACCGGGGAATCGGTGTTTGACGGAGGTTGGTTCGACGCCAAATCCAACAACTCTGTAACCACCATCATCTCGTACGTGGTAGTCAATGATAATTTTCACGTGGTTGAAGATGTAGGCATCCTTTTCATTTGTATCGACAAATCCAATGGGGAATCCTCCAGCATAATGCTTTTGCATGGCTCCATTGCTGACAGCGACATTGGCTGAAGGAAGATTGTCAATGATCCAGTTGTTGTGGTATCCATACTTGATGTGCTTTTGGAGTCTCAAGGCATCCACCCTGTTGGATTATGATGAGTATTAATTATTTTTAGTTTTCGGACGAATTGAGGAACCGAAACGAAAACCAAAGCAAAATAGACCAACGAAAGATTTGATGACTTACCCGTTCAGTCTAATTTGACAGAGCTTGGAACAGCGTTTTTCTGTGAGCATCTGAATGACATAAGGCGAGTCTTGAATTTTGTTGCCTGTCAAGAATTCCCCAAGATTTTCTGAAGCCATTTTGGGCCCATTCTCTGGCTTGCAGAAGGGCAAGCGGTAATAGTCTTTTGGGATTTGAGTATGGACAGAGGTCAACGCGTTCACTTTCAAAGGCACATCCTCTCCTTTTTCAAACGACAGTGGGTGAACCCCAGGAACATAGAAGGCATCGCTGCTTCCCATCAGGAAAGCAGCAGCGGCAAACGCCGCCATGGTGGAACGCTGCATCAAAGTCATCACAGAAAAATAGAATGGTTATTGTTTTTGTTTGGCGAAGACGGCTTTGGCTCCAAGCGGTCCAAACTGGTTGCGATCAACTGAGTTTTTGTTCACCAGGCAGAAGGTGCGCCAGACAAGGAACTGGCAAAGTTTGAACGAGTGTCTTGCAAAGAGTACACAGGCTAACTGTAATCCGTCTTCTAAGACGCAAGGTGAGCTTATCTTTCTGACGTCGAAAACAGGACTCAAAGTCACAGTTGACAATAGTGAAACCTGCAGATCTAAAATCTGATTGATGCTACAACAACCTGAAATTGATTCTGAGCTTGGATTTTCGCAACAGAAGAGGTTGACAGGATGCAGGGCAAAGCTGCATGTGCATGTAGCTACGAAGTTATGCTTTCATTACCCTACTGGTATGCATACTCATGTCAATGCCATTTAGTCATGTCACCATGTCACTTCACCTGCTCTTGACTGTCCCTGCGCCAAAGTCTGGCCACTGATTTATAGGCGACCAAGCTTCAAGGGGTTGCTTGCTTCTTCGGATTTGCAGGCGACCAAGCTCACCAGAGACTTCCGCTACAGGGCTCCTGCCTTGGATCGGGAGACTTTGACTCGACTCGACTCCATACACTGTAATCAATCCTCTGCAGTAGTCTAGTTTCGGTGCAACCGCATCTTCGTCAAAGGTTCGGCCAGCTATATGTATCTTGGCTGGCTAGCTGTTCGTACGGTTCCAGGTAGCGGTAGGCAGGGTTGGGCATCGGTTGGACAGCCAACCATGCATGGTTTTCTTGAAGATGGAAACACTGCTCTTTGGCCGTTTCGGATGTCACCGTCAGAGAGGCTCCTTCCGTAGCTACCGGTACGGTACCGGTACCAGGTACTACTATCCAGCTAGCTAGTTAGAGTGCCTAGATAGCTTGCTCAAATTCAAATCAGAAACATGTTATAAAACTTATACGTGCATAGTGGTTATGTTTTTATGCAGTCACAGCTGTCGCGTCTATCAGCCGTCGAAGATACACTCATTCCCTGTTTTGTCGCCCAGAGCCCTTGTACTCATCGAAGGCGCTTGAATGGCCTCAAGTAGCTGCTGTCTAGCAAGTCATGTTCCCGTTTTAGGCTCTCGATCATGCCGAGCTCGGAGACCAGGTTGGAGCCTGGAGCACGGTTGGTACCGTGCTGCCCCTGTCCTCTCAGCACATCTCGGCTGCTGGCAGGGAGTCCCTGGGTAACACCGGCTCGTTGTAGAGACGCAATGTGGAGTGGGGAGAGATGGTCAAGAGCCGAGGGACGAAGGTGGCGTCGCCTTTCCGCCTCTGCTGGAGGAAGAGACGGGAATGCCAAGTCGGCCCTGTTGGGAGGAAAGGGCAGATCGCCAGCGGCTCGTTTGAGAGCGCCGTCTTGACTTGCTTGTCCCAAGTAGGGTTGACGAGGGAATCCCTGTTGCTGAATTCCTCCTTCGGCGTTGCTCTGATCCAACAGCAACCGCTGAGCACGCTGCTCAACAGCCGCCTGTTGCTGGATGCGTACCTGCCGCATGAGGGGATCTTCTGCAAGATCGGAATGCCTCATCTTGTCCAATTGACCTTGCATGCCACACATGGAACCATTGGCAGCAACAGCCTGTGCACTCTGTTTGTTGAGCGCTGACAAAAAGTCGTAATGGGCCAAATGATGAAGAGTGCTTCCCGTTCCACCACCAACTTGTGGCTTGTTCGTGGGGTTAGGCGAAGCAAAGGCGGATGATGGAAGTGTGAGTGACATGTTGGCCGTGTTTGATAGGGACAAATCACGCATATCAGGTCCTGTGGCTCCTGCTCCTGTCCCCGACAAGTGGTTTGCAAGGTCCATCCGGGAGTGGATGTCTCTTGAGAGGAGGTCTTGATACCCATCCATCAGCGAAGGTCTCTTGCTTCCAGCACCTTGCATTCCATCAGCCAATGAAGGTCTCTTGCTGCCAGCACCTTGATACCCATCGATGAACGAAGATCGCTTGCTGCCAACACCTTGAAAGCCATCAACCAACGAAGGTCTCTTGCTGCCAGCAACCTGATACCCATCCACAAGGGAATTTCTCTTACTACCAGCAGCCTGATACCCATCCACAAGAGAACCAGCAAGCCTTTGTTGCTGCTGAAGCATGGCAGCCAAAGCCTGGTCTTGTTTCTCGGGTACAGTCAGTGTAGAGGCTTCGATCTTTGCGTCAGGACCTGCCATGGCGGCCTCGTTGTCATGGGCTTCCATTTCTGGTTCTTCAAGGTCAGTATCATCTGACACTCTCTCCAAGGCCCTGAGGAATCGCCTTTCAGACTCTTGGAGTCTGTCACGACGCCGCTTCATCTGCGCCATGCTCATTGGGATGGTCGATGGCTCGTACTTGTGCTTGCCATTGTAGTTGGTGTTCTCATACTTTTTAGATACTCTCTTGGGGTTGCAGTTGACCATTTTGGAGAGGAAACTGCGGAGGGTCGTGCCTTCACGGAGGGGCAAGGCGCCGGAACGAAACTCTTCGATCAAAAGATCCACATATGCTTCCTCCTCTTTGGTCCACTTTCCGGAGCGAGGGCGTTCATCGCCAAGGCCATCGGGCGATTTTCTGGAAGTTTTCTTGGATGTCATGGCTGATGATTCAATTGTGGTATCGAGCAAAATTTGGATGCAAGTTTCTCTCAATTGAAATTGTGTGCCGAAAGAAACTGGATCTATCAAGGGAAGCAAACAGTCTCCGAGAGGGATGGGAGGCAATAGATAAAACTGTGTCAATCGCTTTTGCTGCACACAACCCTTACTTCACGTCTTCACGTCCAAGTTCACTTTGAGATGTCCTTGCCGGGGTAGCCCACAATTAGCTAACTAGTACTAGCTAGCTAGTAGATAGCTAGCGAATACAGCTCCAATACTCGGTGTGAGCAGAAAAAGGAAGTGTGCGATGAGCTACGAAACGCCCCCACAAGCGCCCGCAGACCACAAAACCTCAGATCTTGGTGCAGCAGCCTGCTCTGTACCATAGCAGCTACCATAACTACTGGTACCGGTACCAATTTAACAATAGGCTGGGAAGTCGATTCGTTGATGCTCATAAAAACCAGTACGTGCCCTGGACTTTTTGGGTTTCTTTGAGGGGACTTCTGTGATAATTGGCCTCGGTTGCCAAGTAAACGAGAGTGCTCTTGTGGGGGAAGCAATTGAGGTGACCTTTCAAAGGAGAGGGCTTAGCCTAGTTTTGATACAAAATACGAGCCAAAACAGCGATTGGCAGCATTGATGGGTAGAGAATGGTGTGATTGGTGTATTGTTTAAGATCGTACTTTGACCCAAAATTTTCGCAAAGACGCTAGGCTTTTCCCTCAAGTCAATGTGAACGCGAAGAGTCTTGGACGTCGTAGCTGATTAAGCTTTGATATCTGATAAGAGAAATGTTCTCCTTGCTCCTGCGTGCCAATACCGCCAGATGACTTCACAGTCCCGCCGGCAAATCCACTTTATATCACAAATACCCCTCCTCAGAGAACTGTGGCTCAGGACAGAATGGATTCTGCTTGGGTCTTTTTAAAAGAAAGTGCTCGAACGGACGAAATAGCTATACAATCGACTTATAAGGACTTCGCCGAAGCGCTGCGAAGTCATCTCGATGGTTGAAAGGAATTTATGAGGGTTAATGAGCTCTTAAATCCAAAGTACAAACGATGATAAAAGGCCTTCTCAATTGGGCAGTTGGTGGTTTTGATGACAAGAAACACAAGGCGTCTTGAGGAGAATACCTTTACTTATTTGATGCAATTTGGCTCACACTTTCATCTTTCTTTGGCACTTTTGAACCCAAAACCGCTTGTTCAGAGTTTGAGAGGGGTAGCCCTCAATAATTCGAATGGAGATCTTGGGCTTTAAACAACTTTCACTCTGTGGCAAGTGGTACAAGTAAGTGGTAGCAATAGAGAATGAAGGCGGGTGCCTTCTTCCACAGTTCCACAGCTCTTTCAAGCAAAGCGATGCTACGGTATTATTGAAGCTCAAGGCTCACGGATCGGATGCATTGCGTCCGATGCAAGATGCAATAGTGGGTGATGTATGATGGTAACAGTGGGGAGCAACCACAAGTTGCTGGCGGTATTGGGTCCAGGCACGAGGGGTCCAGCCGTCCAGCCACACATCCGTCTACCAGTACCAGTACGATACCACTGACTTTGGCATGATCGATTTCTTGGTAGGTGCAGACCGTGCAGTGCGGCATTACGGTCACTTTGATGCTTCGGAGAATCTAGCTGCTCGAGTGTTTTAATGGGATTCGTTTCCCGAGTCCGCCTGACAAGATCCAATGATCCAATGGCTTCATCTTCAAATAAAGACATTTAGTTGCTTATGTCTGTTGTCGATTCGGTGCTACCTAGTGGGTCGAAGTTGTACGGGTACTTGTACTTGATGTAGTAGAATTCGCATGCTTTTGCTACTCGAGCTCCAGCGATTGCTTCCACGCTTCCACAAGTTATGGATGGTTGCGCACATCCGATGCCTTCCCTTTCCTTTTGCTTGCGGTATTGGGTTTGTTGACTTATCTCAAAGGTGAAGAATGCACACAGCCAAGTATGGATGTAGGTGCAGCTTCCCCAAGTGTGAATCCAGATCAATAAAGTACTCCAGTACTCCAGTAGATTACTAGCTACTAGAGGAATCGTTCGAAAACTCTAACTATAGCTAACTGGATGCAGCTACTCGAGTACATGTAGTCTACACCAACTTCTCCAAGTACTGAGTACAGTCGTACTGAGTACTCGAGTAGTTGGTTTGAAGAGCTGTTTGGAGCTACATGTAGATGTAGCGTTTGTCTGTTTGCTCGTCTTCTACTAGCCGTGAACTAGTCGCAGCTTTGATGGCAAGCTGCCAGGAAGCAATGGGGAGATCTCTTCCTTGGGCCACTCTGCTTGTGGTAGTTTTTGGCAGTCGCAAGGACATTTGGGGTGGAAGGGGTACCAGTATGGTACCAGGTACCGACATGTACACGAACTTTTTCATGGGTGCAATACAAATCGCTGGCTTAAAACTTCATGTCGACAAACACAGTGTCCAGTCAGCTCTGCGGTGTTTAATTTTGGCGGGTTTTCAACGTGTGATGCCAATGACAACCCGGCCTCACATTTTTACTAGAGCTAGCTAGAAGTTTCGTTCAGCTTTCTGGTCTCCTCTCTTTATCTCCTTGCTGCCACTATTAATACCTCTGTAGCTATTAATCGGTAGCTAGCTAGTATCCAATAATCCACACCATGGTGTCTTCTTCCTTAGACGATGAGCATCCCAGCCCGAAGCGGCGTCGCGTCATTGCTGAAGAGGACGACGACGACAACAACAATGATGTCAATGAATCAGACCAAGGCGATCGCTTGTCTCAACGTGCCGCTCGTCTGGAAGAAAGAGCAGCAGAACGGCGCCGTCAAAGATCCCAAGACCTCCGTCAGGAAGTCTTAGAATTGGCGGGTAACAATCCTGATGAATTTCAAGATGTGGATGCTAACAACAATAACAATGACGATGATTTCGATGGTGATGCCGACATGGAAGAGGATAAAGACTATGATTATGAGGCTAATGCCCCTGTTCAGTTGGAAGAAGAAGAAGATGGAGAAGATTTGTTGGATAATGCCGAGCGTGATTACCAAAAGATTGCGGCCTTGGACACATACGGCCGAGATGGTCTGGACGATCGAGATTTTGATGACATGGATGTCGATCAGCGACGTGCAGCCGAAAAGGAATTAAACCGCCGAGACCTAGAAGGGATGGGCCGTAACGATGGATTTTATGGGCTTTTAGATGCCATGGAAACAGAGGAAGATGATGAAGCCCGTCAGGCTCGTCGTGGAATGTTTGCCCGTGGGGAAGATGGCGAAGAGGGAGTTGAAGCCACCGCGGATGGCGATGAAACCGATGAAGAAGATTTGGATGGAGAGGACCAAATCAATTTGGAAGCCTTTGATGTGCCCCTACGAGAATGGATTGCTCAGGATCGCACCCGCCGAGAGTTACAACGCAAGTTCAGAAGCTTTCTACGCCATTACACTGGCGAAGTTGGCAATGAAGACGATCCGGCGAGGCGTCGCAAACGTGGAAATGGAATCTACGAACAAAAGATCAGAGCCATGTGTGCTGCCAATCATTCCACTCTTCAAGTATCGTTTGAGCATCTCGGTGAAGCTGAACCTGTGCTGGCATTTTGGCTTACGGATGTCCCCAAAGACATGTTCGACGTCCTCAATGAAGCTGCCACCCGCCACACCCTCATGTTGTTCCCTTCCTACAATTCCATTCAGAGCGAAATTCACGTGCGTTTTGCCGGTTTTCCCTTTTTGGACTCTCTTCGCAACTTGAGACGCTCCCACCTGGATAACCTCGTGAAGGTCAACGGAGTGATCACCCGGAGATCTTCCGTTTACCCACAACTTAGCATTGCCTATTACACATGTCTTGGTTGCAAGAGAACTCAAGGACCTTTTCGAGTCGATGGAGTGGGGTCCAATCTGGTGGGCATGAGTCAACCAGACAATTGTCCCAATTGTGAAAATGCTCATTTCAAGCTGCATCCTTCCTTGTCCGAGTATCGCAACGTGCAACGAGCCAACCTACAAGAAACTCCTGGGTCTGTCCCACCCGGACGAGTCCCCCGTAGCAAAGAAGTCGTTTTCGCGGACGATCTCATTGATTCTGCCCGTCCAGGAGAAGAAGTGGTGGTTACTGGTATCTATGAGCAAAAGTTTGATGCTGGATTGACATTTCAATCAGGCTTTCCAGTCTTTAGCACGTTTTTGACGGCCAACCATGTCAGCAAAAAGGAAGATGCGGCTGCCACAGCAAATCTATCGGAGAACGATATCCAGGAAATCTTGGAACTGGCCAAGGATCCCAATATCGGAAACCGCATTGTGTGGAGTATCGCTCCAAGTATCTATGGACATGACTTTTGCAAGATGGCGCTGGCCATGAGCTTGTTTGGAGCAGTGCCCAAGAACGTCAATGACAAACACAGGATTCGCGGAGATGTGAATGTATTGTTGCTGTAAGTCTAATATCAATTATCAAGTGTGTTATTATTGTTGAAGGCGCAGCACTGACTTCTATCCCTCATTGAATTCCTATGGTAAACAGGGGGGATCCAGGTACTGCCAAGAGTCAGTTGCTCAAGTATGCAGAGTACACAGCCCCTCGGGCCGTCTACAGCACTGGTAAGGGCGCCAGTGCGGTTGGATTGACAGCATCCGTACACAAGGACCCGATCACCCGTGAGTGGACGTTAGAAGGAGGTGCTCTGGTCTTGGCGGATAAGGTGAGTCAAGTCTGTTGAGTGTTACAAACATGCTTTGGCCAATGATTCCTAGGGCACTCACATGTTGCTGTGTTTCCTGTCGTCAAGGGTGTTTGTTTGATCGATGAATTTGACAAGGTGAGTTGGTTGAATATATACAGACAGTGCACATCAGCATCTTCGCCCACCAATTAGCGCTGATTCTTGTTTTATTTCTTCTAGATGAATGAGCAAGATCGCACATCCATCCACGAGGCAATGGAACAGCAGAGTATATCAGTTTCCAAGGCGGGAATTGTGACATCGCTTCAGGCTCGATGCTCCGTGATTGCAGCCGCCAATCCAATTGGTGGACGTTACGACAGTTCCAACACCCTGGCAGACAATGTCGAATTGACGGATCCTATTTTGCAACGTTTTGATATTCTGTGCGTTCTTCAAGATCAGGTGGACCCCATTGCCGATGAAAGGCTGGCCATGTTTGTGACGGAAAGTCACAAGCGAGCAGTACCGACTGCAAAAATCAAGCCAGACAAGGAAGGGAAATCTGACTCGCAAGCCAAGTCTATGGAAATTCCCGGGCTCATTAAACAAGACTTGCTTCGAAAGTACATCCAATATGCCCGTGTCAATGTTCGTCCCGTCCTGCGAGGTAACGCCTTTGACCAGGAAAAGGTTGCCTCCCTTTATGTGGCACTTCGCCGAGAATCTGCAGCATCAGGGGGTGTCCCCATTGCAGTGCGACACATTGAGTCTATCATGCGCATGGCTGAAGCCCACGCGAAAATGCATCTACGAGACTATGTTCGGGATGACGATATGGATGCTAGTATCCGGATGATGCTGGAAAGCTTTGTCATGGCTCAAAAATTCAGTGTGCGTCGAGCTCTGAAGCGAAGCTTTGCCAAATTCCTTTCCAGCGGTGAAGACCGTGCCTACTTGTTGCTGCACATGTTGCAAGAACTCTTCCGCAAGGAGCAAATGTACCAAGTGATTCGGCTGAGGCAGCGCAATCAGTCCGAGGACATGCTAGATATTCTGGATGTCCCGCTGGATGAACTCGAGAGCAGGGCCCGTGAGCGAAGAATCTTCAACGTGACGGAGTTCTTGAAGAGTGAAGCCTTCACTGAAGCGGGCTACAGGTACGACCCTCAGCGAAAGGCCATCACGAGAAGCGTGGCATCTGCAAACTAAGTGCATGTAGCAATCTACGGTCATGATCGGGGTGGGACTTTTCACAATCAGTATGTGATAGTGTTTAGAAACTAATATTAGGTGTCGCATTGCAGTGCACTCGCTAGGTTAGACTACAAAAGACATCGGATCCACCCCAGGCTTCGGAAGTGCAGCCTCTATGTATTCATGCTGATGATTTCCCAAATGCAGCAAAAAGTGAGAGTGCTATTTTACTGGGCTTGAGAAGGTCAACCCGACACGCCACAGTTCTGCTGCCTCGTGCACAGTTATGGAGGCTATAAGGGGTCCGCATTTCCAGCTCGGCGAATCGTCGCCCGAGGTAAGTTTGAGCTGTCCCATTCCGCACATCTCTCTTATCACTTCGAGCTAGCTAAAAGTTGGCTGTGCGGTACCGTAGCTGTAGACAGGAGGCATCAGATTAGACTATCTTCCATTACAGTATTGTTATTGTTCAGAGGGGGATTTGATTTGAATTGAACATCGAAAATATTATCATTTGTTTGAGGTGGTCCATATATTGCGCCGAAGCTTGTGGCGTGTTGCTCTTTCTTGTCAAACTTCTCATCGTGCAGGAGCAGCAGGCAACCCAAACTCGTCCACCAACTCCCCGTTCGCTGGTAGTTTGTTCCCAGGTACGTCTGTGGGTTGTGATGGCAAGGGAGCTTGCAAGTAGCTGGGTGTGGTTTCAGCCTCCAATTCCTCCATTTCTAGCTCATCACCCAACATTTCCAGCTCTGCGTCGAGATCCGCCTCATCCAAATCTGGTGTTGCATAGTTGTTGCCCAAGGCTTCATTTATTTCATTGAATTCATAGAACATATCAGCCATGTCATCAGCAAGGTCCTCCACAGCGTCAATGTTGAGGTCCTTCTTCATGACCTTTTTCATTTCATGGTTGGCGCTCTTCATGGCAGCAACAGTTTGAACAGTGGCTTTGGCAGACTCCATTCCAAATTGAGCTTGGTCAATATTGAATTGTTGACCACAGGCCATGTCGCGCTGTTGCTCGTACATTTTCTTACGCTTCAGCACTTCCATGGCACGCTTTTGGAGTTGCTTCTTGGCTGCTGGAGTTCGTGCCTTCTTGATCTTTTCTTTGTACTGGCGGAGCTCATCGTCCAGGCCTTGGATTTTGGTGTCCATTCCACCAATGCGGCCGCCCAAGCCGACAGATGCGTCGACCAGAGTTGGTGCTGGAGCTGTCGCTTTCTTCTTTCCAAATACTCGGTTCATGGTTGCTTTGTTTGTGGCTGCTCAGAAAGGGTGTGGTAGTGTTCTTGGTTCGTTGGCTCTCTCTGGTGCAATCGGTGGCGGTGTCGTTCGCTGCTCTTTGTTTCTTGCTTGGTTCGGAAATTGTGGGAGAGAGGAAGTCAAAAAAATTCAAAAACTCATTCGGCATTCTGGTTTGAATCGTGGTCTGATCGCTGGCAATCCCGATTCTGGCCACGACTGAACCAAGGGCGTACTTTACAAAATCAGGAATGGTGAATCGATCGAATCGGATCTTTCCGAATTTGGACTCAGATCGGAAATCCCGAAAGACGAAAATAAGTCAGCGGGAGCTGCGATACCTCGGCAGAAAGACAGATAGAAGAAGGAGGATCATGTTCGAGATTGCACCCATCTTTCAAGCCAGTGCACCAGCCCTGGCGACAACACCCGACTACGTCGTGTGTTGCCGCCCGGTATCATTCATTCCCTCATTGCAACCTTCTTTATTAAGCTAGCCCTGGCGACAACACCCGACTACGTCGTGTGTTGCCGCCCGCTACTCTATAATTTACCTGCTGCCATTGCCTTATTGTAACTCTAACCTTTACAACTCCTGCTGGCGTATTGTGATGTTGTGCTATTTGCACTAACCTTAAATATTAATGATTTATTCCTACCCCTAACTTGTATTGAACCATCAATGTTCAGTTTTGTTGGCTTATGACTATCTCTATCCTTATACTTTGGCTTCACCGGAATAGGAAATAGGAAATAGGAAATAGGAAATAGGAAATAGATAAGTCAGCGGGAGCTGCGATACCTCGGCAGAAAGACAGATAGAAGAAGGAGGATTATGTTGGGATTGCATGCATCTTTCAAGCTAGACCTGGCGACAACACCCGACTACGTCGTGTGTTGCCGCCCGGTATCATTCATTCCCTCATTGCAACCTTCTTTTTATTAAGCTAGCCCTGGCGACAACACCCGACTACGTCCTGTGTTGCCGCCCGCTACTGTATAATTTACCAGCTGCCATTCCCTTATTGTAACTCGAACCTTTACAGCTCCTGCTGGCTTATTGTGCTGTTGTGATGATTGCACTAACCTTAAATATTAATGATTTATTCCTACCCCTAACTTGTATTGAACCATCAATGTTCAGTATTGTTGGCTTATGACTATCTCTATCCATATACTTTGGCTTCACCGGAATAGGAAATAGGAAATAGGAAATAGCATTTAAGTCAGCGGGAGCTGCGATACCTCGGCAGAAAGACAGTTAGAAGAAGGAAGATCATGTTCGAGATTGCACCCATCTTTCAAGCCAGCCCTGGCGACAACACCCGACTACATCGTGTGTTGCCGCCCGGTATCATTCATTCCCTCATTGCAACCTTCTTTATTAAGCTAGCCCTGGCGACAACACCCGACTACGTCGTGTGTTGCCGCCCGCAACTCTATAATTTTACCAGCTGTCATTCCCTTATTGTAACTCTAACATTTACAACTCCTGCTGGCTTATTGTGCTGTTGTGCTGATTGCACTAACCTTAAATATTAATGATTTATTCCTACCCCTAACTTGTATTGAACCATCAATGTTCAGTTTTGTTGGCTTATGACTATCTCTATCCTTATACTTTGGCTTCACCGGAATAGGAAATAGGAAATAGGAAATAGGAAATAGGAAATAGAAAATAGGAAATAGGAAATAGGAAATAGGAAATAGGAAATAGAAAATAGGAAATAGGAAATAGGAAATAGGAAATAGCATTAAAGGGGTTGAGAACTCAGGCAGTTTACCTGCCGAGGTAAAGGGGTTGAGAACTCAGGCAGTTTACCTGCCGAGGTAAATAGGAAATAGGAAATAGGAAATAGCATTAAAGGGGTTGAGAACTCAGGCAGTTTACCTGCCGAGGTGATCCTGAACAATGGGAAGGCGTTGGCCGTTGGACACTCCTACACACCCCAATCCTCAAAAAGATGAAGCCATGAAGCTGCTTCCTGCATCCATCCTGCACTTTGGTTCTGGCAACGATCGATGAATATGCTGGATGGAACAGAGCACTCCAAGCAAAGTCTAAGATCTATCATATCCGAGGGACATGAAGGATCTGGGCCACGGTCTAGACGACCACAACGACCTTTCTCGTCGAAATGGCAGCTGCTAATGGAAGTTGTTGCTCTTTTAGATTTTATGTCCACCTTTGCAAATCGGCGCTTCTTTTCCCAGCAGAAAGAGGCTTTGGCGTCTGGTAATCCAGAAGGCCGCTTTCGCTTTCTTACCCAGAGTTTTCTGCTTGGTCGCTTATTTACCAAACAGAAAGGAACTCCTATTGCTGCCAGTCCTCATTTTCGAGTGTTTGGCACGAATTTTGCACTTCCACATCATGTGTTTACCAATCTCTTTCTCTGGCTCGATGCACACTCGGTCCATTTCGGATTCCTATTCTCAGTTCTATGGTGCATCGAGGCATTCTTTGAGGCTGATAGATGGGCGGACCGACGACTGTCCGAAGTAGAAAGACGAAAAGTAATGGCCAGAGTTCGATCCATGCTCAGACGAAAGTCCCTACGACCGCAATTGAGTTCCTCAGAGGAAAGTCTGGAAAATTTCAGGACCCTTCTCCTTTTCTATGGAACGCTGATTGTCCAATTTCTGCTCCTTCCTTTGGGCTTCTACTTGCTAATCTACAAATACATTGTGGTGAAAGCGACCTCTATCTATGCTGCTGCCGACGACAATGACGGGCCAGGGGAAATCGCAGCTTTGCTAGAGTCAACCTACGAATCTGTGAATTTGCCTGGGGAGTACAGGACGTTCTCCAATGAAACAAAGTTGGCCTTGGGGTTCGCCATTGCCAAACACTCTGGGAAGGCCGTATACAAGGTCACAGAGAGCAAAATGAAAGCAGTGATGTGGAGACAAGGGCTGTTAGAGGGCAGAAGGCTTGGCTGGAATGCCATCAGACATCCTCTGAGATCGTTACGGAACACTTTTTGGTCGCTGCGGCACGGGCGAGAGTTCATGAGGTGGGTTCGATGGGTGAAATCCCTGGCACCTCTCGTGCGAAGGTTTGCAAAGTTGCGGAGCAGCCTTCGAGCCCTATTTGTGACCTACAGACAGCGCCATCACCGAAAGATTGCTCGGATAAAACGAAAACGAACTTGGAGAAGATTGAATGAACAACAGCGCAGATCAAAGGCCTGCAAGATAATCCAAAGCACTTATCGAAGTTACAAGCAACGGCAGGCTTGCATGCAGATAGTGCTCTCGCGGCAGGTAGTCAACGATCTGGCCGCAAGAAAGATTCAGCTGGCCTTGCGTTTAATGATGGAGAATGCCAAGGCCAAACAGGCGGAAAGCAAGTTCGAGCTGGAACGGCTAGAGTCGAGAGAATCGCTTTCATTGCGCAACGCAACAATTCCATCTATGATGCACCGGAGTGAAAGGGAACGATTGAACGAGCTAAGGGAGCAGCAGGCATCCGAGAAGCCAACATCGATCGACAAACGCCTTTTGATGAGGCCAGACTCAAAGTTTCAGCTATTCTGGAAGATACTCTTTATCATCTGTGTGGTGATCGAGCTAGTCTGTCTTGGCTTGAATTTCCGACTGAAAAGAGGAGATCAAACACTGAAAGCAAAGCTACAGGAGATGCTCATCCCGGTGCCAGTGACGCAGCTCAAGGAATGCTCCTGCTTGGCCCAATGCCGTCGCGACTTTGCCACATGGGAGACACAAGTCGCCAACAAGCGAAAGTGTCGAGGAGAACCTTGGTATTGCAACCCAATGTACTACAACGCCCAGATTGCCTACACGGGGTCCATCCGATTTGTTCTTGAGCAAGTTCTTTGGTTGTTGGCACTGGTGAACCTCTTGGATGTACCGGTTTCCTTCTACACCGGAATCTACTGCTCAGATACGGGGATTTTGGTCCCTAAACCCTTCCTTGGTCGTTGGGTTTTCTTGTTCATACAACTCCTCACCAATCCACGTATGGGGAAAATCAGCAACAGAGTGTTCAGACTCTTGCAGAGCAGCTTTGAGATTGGGCCAATACGAGTCCTTCGTTGGGGGAAATGTCTGTTCTATCCGTCGCTACTCTTCACCTTTGATTGGACGGAAAGTCATGTTTGGCTGCCCTTGGTTGCGTTTGCGAACGGCCCAGCTACGCGGCTGTCAATGCCATTAGGAGAGCGTGTGGAAAAGGCTTCCCAACGGCAACGACGTCGGTCATCCGTTGATCCAACTCTACCTCCTTCAATTTTTGATCCCGAGTTGTCCAAGATTCTACCTGAGCCTACCACACGAAGACTCCGAAGGGGGTCATCGCTATCGTCTCGTATGTCAATTAGGGTGTCGGTCCAGCAATCCACGGAACTGCTCATTCGGAAAAGTCTTAATGATTCCATGGTTTTCTCCTTTCTGGATGAGGAAGAATTCAAAATGCAGAACAGGATTAGCTAAGCAAGAGTCTTATCATGCTTGCTTACGCTTGTTGCCCAAAGCTTGATTGGATCAAAAGTTCCCACAATCCGTGTGGACCTCCTTTGGGGGTTGGTTGTTGGTTGTCTTGTGGAATCGAATCTTGTAACGGGGTGATGCCAATGATGCCAGCTGTCCTGACAAAATGCAAATTTCTTGCTTCCATGATTGAAATTTTCACAACAATACATGCACATGTAACAAGGCATCTTTCTGTGGGTGTGGTTGGTTTTGGGGCATTGAAGACTGATTGGAGCTGGATGGATGCATGGAAGGACCTGTATTGTTGGTGAACTCGATTGCTTCAGATGCAAGATATCCGCGCACCATTGCGGAAACACCCAAAACTGAAAGCGGCTCAATACATGAGTCACATACTACGTGAGCGCCCACTCGAATCACCGGATCCTGGCAGAAGTCAATCTTCCAAGGGGGGAGGTCACCATCTTGCAATGCACAATTTGGTATTCGGCATTCTTGAGTCATCAAAGAATTTTGGTGTGCCGTCTTGGCATTTTCCGAATGCCGGTGGCGTGGCCACTCCGGCCTCTCCTCCTGCAGTCAACAACAAGGTATTCATGGACCCACCCTATCTGTACTTTCCAATATGCTCCATAATCTTATCCCCCTTCACAAGAAGCGCTGCTGCCCACCTGGAATCTACACAATAATGAGTGGCCCCTCAACCTTTAATATTCCAGCACGCACTAGCTGTGCGCGAACGTCCCTTGGCTTGGAACATTTTTCGCTTGAACAGGGCCACGGCAAAGTTGCCAGTTCATCAGCGAGAAGTCTGCAAGGAAAGCACCAGTTTAGACGTGCTCGGAAACGATTTCGTCCAACAGCCTCCATTGCGTCGTGTTCTATCGTCTGGGTGTCGCCGCCGTAAGCGGCGGAGAGTTCTGAGATTCCAGCAGTAAGCACTCCCACGTGGCCCTTGGACTTCCTGAAGACCTTGCTCGCAGCCACCCAGTCTTTTGCAAACTGTATACCTGGGAAGTTTTTAGTCCATGAAACAAGAGGGGCCGAGCCTTAAGAGTTCCAATCATAACTGGCCGCAATGACCACGCGAACCTTCATTTTTGAGTCCGTGTTCTCAAGATGTTTCACAGCTGCCTGCCAGAAGCTATCGTAAAAAACCAACTGGGGGTCGTCAATAGTATCCAAGCCTTCTTGTCCTTATCCAGTCCCGCATATCCTCAGGCAAACGACAAAACTCTCTTGCAAAAGTCCAAGTAGCCCATCAGAGTCTTGGGTTTCAGTTGATTGCTCGATCACGGTGAGAAGCTTCACAACGTTCACTTGTCTCACTTGAGTGTCTCCTTCGTCAGATGAATCAGGAGAGGCTTGCCCGCTGCGGGAAGAGACCGAACGATACATATCTACTTGGTCTGCGCCAACACCAGGGAACGGTTCCTTTCAATTTTACGGGTGTCCCTTGACTCCGTTTCGTGGAGGGGCACAGGACTCGACTCGACTCAGTTCGCGCTGGGGCTTCAGGAGCCGGGACTTCCACTTCAACGCTAAAGGATTGATTCTACTTCTTTGCCTTAGCGAATTGTCAGAATACATTCAGCGAGACGGAGGAGACTTCCAAAAGTTGTACGCCACGATAAACAACAGAGAAGGAGCACGGAGCCATTGTTGCTGTTGTGGCGGGGTGCGGGGTACACTGTGTATGAGCCTATCTTCAGGGCCGCACTTTGCTCCCATTCTCTTCGATACTACAGCGGTCTGAATCATTCAATCGTCAAAAATGATAGGCTCGAGTGCAATAATGGTGATTGTGGGCTCTGTTCGGTTCGTCTAGCCAGCAGCCTACGGTAGCTACAGTATTTGCCAGCGAGTGGGTGTTGCCCTGGAATCTGGCTCTACGCCAGAAAACCAAAGGACTGCCTCCACGTTTCGCGCAGCCCTTGTCACTGGCCCAAAGCAAAAAGATCAAAACCACAAAGCTGAGAATTTTTTTGTCTGCTGAATTACATCAACGACTGCACCTTCTCTCGGGTTTGAGCCCAAGGGAACATCCCGAGTCCCGAGCAAGCAAGCACGACTATAGTATTATGATAGATTGGGGACCATTTAAGGGACTAGTCCCCTAAGTGACCTATTACGTCAAATATCTCAAGTGACAAAGGATTGAGATTTAAAGGACAAATCCTTGCATCTTCAAGGGGCCGGCCCGCGGCAAGGCAGAATTCAGGGACGAGACTTGCATTGCTCGGTTCCCAAAGCTGGTGCCAATAGGGTGTCCGAATTAGTTTGGATTTCCAGATTGAATTATTCGATTTCATGTATGTTTCATGGTCTTTAGAAATTATTTTTTTGTCTTTGTGTGCTAAATATGACTTTTCGAGTTTCACGTTTCGTTTCTACGCTTTTCCACCACTTTTTGGCGAATTTTTAGATGATTTTAAACTCTTAATTAAAAGTGGTAAAAGAAGAATGACACTCGTTTCGACAGATAACACCGCTTTCAAAGATATTTTTTGGTCAAAAATCAAGATTCGAGTTTCACCATCAAGAAAACATTATTTCATGAAAGTTCAAGTTGAAATTCGTATTTTTCGACATCGAAACTCTGATTATAAGTCAGCCAGAGCTACGATACCTCGGCAGAAAACTCCTACAAATGTTACTCAAGTAATATTACCGCCATGACCCCTAAGTACCTAGTCCCGGTACCCCCAACCCGGGACCCCCCACTAAGTCCAACTAGTACCAGATACAGATTCCGCCAACAGAAAGGTACAGAAAATACATAAGAAAACTACAATTCCAACGGAAGAACCACAGCGCCCAATAACACAGAGAGATGCGACAATACCATTGTGGATTGATTAATCTAACGATCTAAGAGATGTAAAGTTTGTATTTCCAAATAAGTGTAAGTGAGCAGTTATTGATTATTTTCTAGAATAAGCCTGCTAATTGTAAAGCTGTAAAGTGAATATGTAACTGTATCCCGTCGCACTCCCTTACAGCTGAAAATGAAGCTGGAGCAAGAAACGATAGGAAGAGTCCCCAGCAAAGTGCTGAGAAATTACCATCCATGAGGAGCTTCCGAAGACAGCAAACTGTGGAGCCGGAAGACCCTTAGTGAAATGTCGGCTCGTTGTTCCAGAGTCGAATATACTGCATACACGGCTCTTAGCCTTATTCGCGACTCGATCCTAGATAGGGGTTTGAGTTCGACTCATGACTGAGTCCTCTCGTGAATAGTCATTTGAGACAGGTTCTCAATGACCGCGCTAGTCATACTGAGATTGATATGAAACATCGCTCTAGATATTAGCTAGCGTGGAGTACTCCACGCTACTAGATCCAGCCTAGACGAACCTCCACGCGTTCCGTTCTAGGATCGTGGAGAGACGTAGGATTTCTACCCAACCTACTCTATCACACTTTATATCCGCCGCGGGAAGCCAGAACTACGATCCCAGTGATATCTCTCTGGTCGATTAGTTTTTCATAGTTTCTAATCTCTCTCATAACTTTCATTCTCCAAACTCAAAACACTCGAAAGATCTTTACACAGTTTTTAGCGTAGTGCATTTTGTTAACAAACACAATGACTTTCAGCTACCCTCAAACTATTCCTTCACCATGAAGATTGCTCAAAGAAAGCATGCGTTTCCGCAACTTGAGAAACAAGTTGCGTGAAAAACCATTCTTCCTCTCTCGACAATGACAAGAACACTGAGATCGACGACACTCGTGCCACCACTTGCAGACTTCGCAACCATGTTGCCAACGCAAATCAGAAAACTCTGATAATAGGGACCTCCTCTATCAATTTCAATCATTGGATGGAGAAATCTCTATCTGAGGATTAGCGCCAGGAATGTGACTCAACGGAACCCATGTCCGATTTCTCATACCAAAGTGATGAAGATATCTCACTAACTAGTAAACAACAATTTTGCAACTGATGAACTCTACGGCAAATTAGAGATTGCTAGAAGCTGTCAACTAGACTCTGATGATCTATTAGCATCGTTAACCTCGTCCGTGGCCAACCACCTCGTAAACGTCGCAAGACAAGAGACCTCAAACCCATCTGTCTATGTTAGATTTAACAAGCAGAAAAAGGGAACCAACGTTACACTCCGTTGCTTACTGGATACAGGAGCATCTGGAACCTTGATTGTCAACCTCATCTAAGAAATTACATGAAGATCTTGGGGCGTCCAAACGATGTGACATCTCTCTGCTTTT